CTGAAAAATGGCTTAAAATATTACCAGAGGTTGTAGATGAATATAATAAAAAAATTCACAAAATTCCACAAAAAATCCAAATATTATAAAGTCAATTAACGCACAACATAACTACGAAAATGAAATAAAGAATTTAAATATCAAACCCAAATTTAAAGTTGGAGATCGCGTTCGTATTTTCAAATATAAAAGCAAATTCGAAAAAGGTTACGTTGGATACTGGAAAAACGAAATATTCATCGTTGATAAAGTAAACACCACAGCACCTTTCAAATTTATGAATTAATCGATCGAGACAAAAAACAAATCCTATGATTTGAGTTGAGTTGAGTAGGTTTTATCAAAACGAACTTCAAAAACTGACTTTTAAAAATGAATATCTTTCTCGATAAATATGGAACTGATACAACCACAAATTTTCAACTTATGAGATGGGCGAATGAGTTAAATGTATCACCGTTTTATTATTGTATGAGAGATGAAATAAATGATCTCAAATATAAGAAAGGTAAATTTTATGCTATGACAAATATACATACTCCCAATCAAAAAGGAGTTCATCATTCTGCTTTGTACAAAGACTTTTCAAATAATTTATATTTCTTCGATTCTTTTGGATTAGAACCCACTGAAGAGATAATGAAATTGACTAATCAAATATTCTACCTTTCAAATTCAAATACCGGGACAAAAGTTTTGTGGACAACTTTCACTTTGGGTTTTATATAAGTTGAGTTTAGGAAAACAGTTTGAAGAAATTCTTCAAACGTCAACTAAATAATTAAAATTTTGTTGATGAAACTAAACTACAACAAGAGGTAGCAGGTTCAATAAGTTTTATTCAAAAACAATTGGTCAACGTAGTGAACAAAACTGAGTTACAAAATTTAATTTCATTAATATCTAAATTAGATGATAAGATTGCAAAACAAAAATTAGATATCCAACAATTGATAGATAACATTCCAGATGAAAATGAAGATACGTTTCAACAGGAATTAAATGCTCTGGAATCTAAACTTAACAATGAATTACAAAAAGAACTAACAAATATTAAACAACAAATACATTGATGATAGCGAAATCAAAACCTATATTCAACAACAAATACAAAATATTGATGATGGCGAAATTAAAACCTATATTCAACAACAAATACAAAATATTGATGATAGTGTTATTCAACAACAGATAACCACTATTAATAACGTAGTTTTAAAACAGGACAAAAATATAGTCGCATTAGAAAAGCAACTCAAGCAAGAAAATAAATCATATTATTTCAATCTTCCATTTGGAAATTTGGATGATGCTTCTATTACTGATAATTTTGATAGATCAAAAGACTATGAATATAAAAAATGTGGATTTACAGCAAATATAAGAGTATATTCTCCAAATTCAACCTTCCCCTCGAAATTATTTGATTCTCAATTTCTTTTTTTCGAAATTACAGGTAAAAGTTGATTCAATATTCTTCAAACAAAAATTATTTTCATCTTATAAATTTAACGCTCGTAAAGTTTCAGTTTATCAATGGTAGAGAAAATGTAGAAACTAAAGAATTAGAAATTAACGACGAAAACGGCAAGTTTAATCACTTATATGAAATTAAAACGAGTGGAAAATATATAGATAGGTTTAGAATGTTGATCATACCAGATAAAAAAAAATGATGGTTTTATATTAGGTGAATTTGATATGATATTGGAAACGGAAAGTTCACCATAAGCAACTATTATTAGAAATCTAGAACCACAAAAAGTAGAAGGAAGGCCAATCAGTTATCAGTTTTTACGAGCAACAGACTTTGAATGCGTAAAACTATATTTTGTTAATATAATGTTAATATTCATGTTTTTTTACATGAAGACGGAATTATCTCTTCAGCTAATTTATTTACCTCAATCGATATTCATAAAAGTCATCAAGGTAAACAATTTATAATATTTTCATCAATAATTGAACGTAATGATGGAACAGAAGTTGGAGGTATATATACCTGTAGATGTACGATAAGAATCAATATCGAAAAACCAAATTTTTCAAAATAAGATTAATGATTCGAAAGAACAAATATCGTTTGTAACTGTAAAAGTTTATATTTTCAAACCTGAAATAATTATAACAGATCATGAAAAAATAAAGAATGCACAACGTATTGGGGAAACCTATTGTTGATGTTAAACACTTTCCATCTTTTGCTTTATCAGAAGTTCACTTAATTTAAATTACCTAAAAATGGAACTAGAAAGCAGACAAAGTTCACCATCGGCAAGTATTATTAGAAATCCAGAACCACAAAAATGAGAAGGAAGGCTTATCAGTTTTTACGAGCAACAGACTTTGAATGCGTAAAACTATATTTTGTTAATAATAATTTTTACATGAAGACGGAATTATCTCTTCAGCTAATTTATTTACCTCAATCGATATTCATAAAAGTCATCAAGGTAAACAATTTATAATATTTTCATCAATGATAGAACGTAATGATGGAACAGAAGTTGGAGGTATATATAGATGTACGATAAGAATCAATATCGAAAAACCAAATTTTTCAAAATTAGATTAATGATGCGAAAGAACAAATATCGTTTGTAATTGTAAAAGTTTATATTTTCAAACCTGAAATAATTATAACAGATCATGAAAAAATAAAGAATGCACAACTTATTTGGGAAACCTATTGTTGATGTTAAACACTTTCCATCTTGTGCTTTATCAGAAGTTCATTTAATTTAAATTACCTAAAAATAGAAATAGAATGCAGACAAAACTACATGATAGAAAAACAAAATGAACTAAACGAAAAACTAAAACACTTCAACAAATGTAGAAAAACATGGAGTAGAATTGATTCTGTTTTCAAAACATTAAGCACAGTTCTAACAGTAGGAATAACGGTGGCAACAGCCGTAACCGGTGGATTAATGGTTCCAGTAGTTATCCCAACTGTATTAGCCACAATTACTGCTATTCAAACTTCATCTTGTGGATTGATTACTTTAGGTTTTGCATCAAAACAGAAATCTCATTATAAAAAGAAAACAGAAATTTTAAATACATATCTTAATAAATTATTCATATTTTTCGAAAGATCGAAAGAAGATAAGAACATAACCATTGAAGAATTAGAAGAATTCAATGAAATTTTAGATAAATTTTATGTAGAAATATCATCAATAAAAGTTAAAAATTCCTAGTTAAAAATAGTTGCTTAAAAAATACGAATAAAATTGAAATTTTAAACGATGAAACATTCGTATCAAATGAACTTTTTTCCAGTGTTATGAAGCTTATCGCTGATAAATTTATAACATTTAAAGGGCAAATTGAATTAGATGGAGAGATAATTCAAGATGGAGGACACAAACAAAACATGCAATTTGTAGGCTTTAATGCCAAAACTTTTCACAATTTCTCCGCAACATCGGATGCTTCTGATTGGTATTTCTCAGAAAAATCATTTTACGTAAAAACAATTTCAAAGAAATAAAAAGATCAAAAAAGGGTAGTGGTACCACCCTACTCTTCAAAATATAAATGAAAATGCCGATATGAATTGTTTCATACCAAGCGATGGACACTGCTTTGTGAAATGCGTAAATCGTGTTTTGAACAAAGACTACATAAAAGAATTTCAAGATTTCATCAACAGTTTTTCAAAATCAAACATTCAGACAGGCATTCTGTCTCTACCTTTAACTAATTCATTCACCGATGAATATTTACAGAAAAAATGGAAAAGACAAAAACAAATAATGGGCAACTCTAATTATTTGCAAAATATTAATTTCATATGTTCCTATCAATATGAAACATCTAGTTTAGCGGCATGGGGACATTCATCTAATCTACCAAATGGGAACCTTACGCTAAAAGAGATACCTTATGTCTTGGAGCTTGATAAAATATAACAAAGTTATGAAAGAAGTTGTATTCCAGAATATTTCCAATAATCTAACGGCTCCTTCTTTATCTTTAAAGCTAACTGAATGTAATCTTCGACAGCTATCATATCATTAGAATGACCCTTAAACGTTTCCTTTTCTTTTAGAATAGACGAAATGTATAAACTATCGGTATCCGTATAGTATATTTCAGGCTTATAAAATCCTGTGAGATAATACGAATGATCCCAAATGACTAGGTGTTAGTCGTGTAGATTTAGGAGGTATACAGTCAAATTCTTTTTCTTCTTCAATTATCTCAACCATATATTGAGTCGCATTTACTTTAGGATAGCTTTTGACGTGTGAATCGAAGTTGCTTCACTCCATTAATGTCTCGATGTAGTTATATCCTTCTGAATAGATTTACCATACAATGAATTACCTAATAATTTCATGCAGTTACTACCTACGATATTACATTCTCGTTTATATTTATTTCTTAGATCTCTCAAAATTAAAATATAATCTCTATATGGTGGAGTTTTAAAATTTTCTTCGTATACTATACCATCTAATATTCTAATAATTCGTCCACCGGCTTTAACTATTTCTTGAATATCAACCGATGTTAAAACTTCTGAACAGAAACCATTTCTGAACTTGATTTTAGTGCCAGTTTCCTTATTGCCTTCTTTGTTCGTAAAAGTAATTTTATCTTTAGCTGGTATGGGTTGGAAGAACATGTAAGTAGGATATTCAAACCAGACTTTTAAAATAGCCGTTCTAGGTCTGAATTTCTGCTCATTAAAGAGCTTAACAAATTCTTTATTTTCTTCGGTCTACCACTTTCCGCTTTTGGATATTCGCTGTCTAAATCCGACATGGCGGAAGCGTACAAACCGTTAGCATCAAAAGCCATTAGTTTAGTACATTTTATTTTTTTAAGTTTTGAATTAACTTCCGTTTTATCTTTTTTACTTTTACTATATTCTTTAAATAAATCAATTATATTATCACTTTCACTAAACTCCTTTAATACATTACATTTAATGGATTGTCTGATAAAATATCTTATAAAAGGGTGTGTATGTGATTAAACTTTTTCTACGTTTCCTTTTTGGTGTGTTTCGGAACCATTCTAGTACTTTCATACCATTCTTCTTCAAGCATTTCTTTATCGTAATGATATAAATAATACCAACCCTTTAAAGATAAAGAAGGAGCCGTTAGATTATTGGAAATATTCTGAAATACCACTTCTTTCATTGCTTGATTGTATTTTATCAAACAAGCTCCGAGACATAACGTGTCTCTTTTTGTGTAAGGTTCCCATTCGTGTCTTAAAGATTCCCAATTATCTTTGGTGTATTTTGCAATATTAATATCGGTGATCTTTCTCAAATTCATTGGTAGATTAGATGAATTACCCCATGCCGCTAAACTAGATGTTTCATGTTGAAAGGAACATATGAAATTAATATTTTGCAAATAATTAGAGTTACCCTTTATTTCTTTCTGTCTTTTCCATTTTTTCTGTAAATCTTCATCGGTGAATGAATTAGTTAAAGGTACAGACAGAATTCCTCTGAGTGTTTTTAAAGGGCATTGTGTTACGTTTTTGATCATGATCCAGTTATCAAAACCGCTACCGTTATGAGCAATTAATGTTATTCTTTTTTGATCTATTTTTCCTAAACGTTGTAACATTTGATCGATGCAATCTTTACCCACAAATATTTCTACTATATTCATTAATTTATTATAAAATTCTTCTGGAACACTCTCAGTGGAGTTTAAATCTGGAAAGTTATGTTTTATTCTGTCTAACATTTTTCTTAGTTTTCTAAATTAATTAACTTTTTCGCTATAGGTTTCGCAATCCCATGCGTATAAACAATCATCGTCAATGGTTGGAAAAACGTTTAGTTTTAGAGGTGCGTTACCGCATTATCATCTCTACAAGTTCTCCATACGTTTTCATGATCGATTCAAATGCGTGTTTGACTGATAATCCCGTTTTGTTTTTCAAAGGAATAACCCAAGCATATCTCGTATACAAATCTATAACTGTTAAGCAATATTTAAATCCTCTTTAACTTTTAAAAAGTTTTTAGTTTTTCTAAATTCTTTATGAATTTCATCCGCTAATCCCATGCCTAATTTCATCTTTGCTTTTAATAGTTTTATGATTAATGCTCTTTGCATTCTCTCTTTGAAAGTTAGATTATCATTTGTCTGTCTGCTTCGTGTCTGAAGTTTATGTCTTTATTTCTGTATAGTATGTCGTGTTTAAGCGCAACGGCGTCAACTCTATTGACTGGTTCTTCCCCTGGTTTGGGTTTATCGTTTCGTCTAATCGCAGATCTAACCTAGTACCTGTACCAGTGTAATTATGACCGGGGATATGTTTTTCTTCGGGATATTTCGCCCATGGAAATCCAGGAAGAGAACCTAATGATTTTTGTATATCTGAACCAAAATAAGTTTTTGGAGCGTGAGCGACAATCATTTTTATCCTATAACTTTAAAACCTTTTCCTTTCCTTTCTTCTAATCTTCTGTTTCGCAGTTCTCTTATTAGCTCTAATTCTTTCAACTCGTTAGATTGTTTCACTGAGTCGCTTATACTCTTTCCCGCTTGGGCGATTGAACCGATGGCTTTCGCTTCGGTTGAAATAAGTAATTTGTTGTTTGAAACAAAGCTAGCTACTTTTGGAATTATTGTTTTACCTAGAGAAAATATTGATGAAAAGATACCGTCGCCCGAATAATCTTCGAATCTGTGTTGTTCGTGTTTTAGAATTAAACTTTTAATTGAGTTAATTTAACGAAGAAATTGTGTTTCCAAAAAAAAGTTATCTCCCTTCTATATTATTTAAAACCAGATGTTATTTTTATATAAGGATATTTTTTAATATGCTTTTTTTGATGGAATGTAGGAAATTGATTGAAGGTGTTTAGTGAATGAAATGTAAGGTGAATAGGGTGAAATAATTTAAGGGAGTTTAGGTCTTTTTTTAGTGTAAGAATTTATGAAATGTAGGATGTTTAGGTGAAAGAATTTATGAAATGAAGGGTGTATAGGTGTAAGAATTTATGAAATGTAGGGTATTTCGGTCTTTTTAGGAGCTTATAGATTGGTCGCATTTTCTCCATGAAATGAAATGGATTAGGGAATCCCCGTGCGACCAATCTATAAGCTCTAGTACTACTTCCACCGTTTATCAAATTGCAATGTATATTTATCACATCAATATCATTCTCGATATTAGCTTTGTGTGGTGCTAAAGTGGATTGCGTGTATATTTGTTTATCAAATCCTAGTAACGCATTCAATGAATTTTCTATGTTGAAATCAACTTGACTATTATTTCTTGATATCAATTTTATTTTGTTCAGATTTAAATTACCTTCGAATTCAATATTGTTTTTACCATTCAGATAGGTATTCGTTAATGGCTATGTATTCATAGCTTCCTGGTAGTAAACGTATGGTATTGAATGTAACTCCATTATCTGTTGACTTTTTTATTTGGTTATTTTTTTCGTTGATATTTCTAATGGAATTGTAAATAGAGAAATACTTTAATCCCAATTCACATTCTTGATTGCGTTCGATTTCGTACTCATAATCTAGAGACAATTTAATGTCTGATTTATTTGAGGTGATAACGAATAGTTGTTCTTTATTTGACATTTTAAATCACGCTTTTATAATCATTGTTATCTATAATACCTTTCTCTAAGAGTCTTTTTAATATACAATTTACTTCATTATATTGTCTGTTTGATCGATGTCCTTCCGTCATTGCTGCTAATATTATTTGTAATCTATTAAGTAGTTCCTCGTTGTTGTCGGATAAAAACGTTATACCTTGTCCAGATACAATATTTTCGAATTCGTCCATTTCTTGTATGATTGGATTGTTGTCTTCAGCATAATCACCCACTTCATCAACTTCATATTCACCATCATGTTCATAACTCTTATATATAGTTTAACTTCTTTCGATCTCCTTGTTTCGGATCCCATCTTTCTTATTGCATCTAGAAATTTTGAGTATGCTACTAAATCCTTGCGATCGGCAATGCCAACATCCTCGTCATTCATTAAATCTATTAGTCCTTTTGTTAATGTGTATGTAAAATCTTTTGTATCGATTTTGAATAAAGGGGAATTTGGACTAAATCTTATTCTAAAACCATTAAACACTAACCCCTCATCATCAACGATTGGTGAAATGCTCTTTGGTAAAACTGGGTCAGGGTTTGAAAAAAGACGATTTATATCATCTAAGGTCCTAATTATAATAAAACCACGATATTCAATCGGTTTTGGGGGATCTGTATGGGGTGAAGGTTCTATGGGAGAGGGGAGTCTCTTTTTAATATCTTCTAGACTTTTAATATTGGTTGAAATAGAGTTTGTAGATTTTCTGTTAATCCAAGTTGTTGTAATTTGTTTTTTTCAACTTGGGTCATTATTTTATTCTTAACTAATCTTATTAAAATATTATTCCAATTATCAATTTTAAATAAAATAAAATTAACATATGTCGATCATAACTCTTTCACTCGCAGGTTTTCTAGTATTAACAAATACATATCCATGATCATCTGGATTTCTCTATTGAGCTTTACAAACCTTTTTAAATGTATCTCTGTCCATTCCGTGATTTATCGACTGAATGATTTGAGATAAATCTTTATCGTTTAATTCAAATAATAAAAAACAAATTGCATTTTTTTAATGAACATATTATCCATCCCGTAAAAAGATTAGGATTGGTATATGCAGTGACAGTTGTGATGTCTTCCTTTCTTGAAGAATTCTTGTTGAACAGCTTGATTTCTTTGCGCTACGCAGTCGTCAAACAATATTAAGTTCTTTCGTTTGCTATCAATATTAGACAAGTCTAGATAATTAACATTTTTCGTAAGATAAACTTTTATATCCGTTGGATTCCCTTGATTTAATGAAGTTTTCTATATCTTTTATTTCCACTTCTTTCGTTTTCTTCATAATATTGAAATATGTCTTGAACATCTTTCTTTGGTAGATATTCTAAAGCTTTGAGAAATTGATAATACGATTGCTCTGGTGTTGTTGTGTAGATATATAGTGAATCGAAATCTAAATGTTTGGTGTTGTATGTTAAAAGTGAGATGAGTTTTCTCAGAACCGGAACTATCGCATATACACATGAGCATTGGGTTAAAAGGAAATATTTCTGAATGTTTTTTCTTTCCCATTTTTTATCATTTTATTTTGTTTCAAAAATCACTCATTCTCCTTTATACTTTGAAAGAAGTAATCCTTCTCCAGTGCGTATGTTTTTTTTTAAAATATCCCATTACCCTTATGTTTGACTTTGACTTCTCCTGTGTCAATACTATCTACTAATTTATTTAATCCTTGTTTAACAATTTTCTTGGTTTCTTCCCCAAATCGTTTTCCAAATTCTTTAACTGTTCCTAATTTATCTGCCACTCCTGAACCTTTTGCTTGCTTTTCCATTTCTAAATTGTGTCTATGTTCTTCGGCAGCTTTTATTTTAGCTGCTTTATCTTCGTTGGCAGCACGTACTCCGGCAGCTGTACCACCAGCTATTACAGCCGCCGCAGTAAGACCACCAAATATCAAAGGTAGGAGAGGTAAAAATCCACCTTCTTTTGCATTAGCGTCAATTCTGTCTAAGTCTATATCGTCTCTGACAATATTTATATTTATCAATAAGTTTTTTATTGTTAAAAGTGAGATGAGTTTTCCCAGAACCGGAACTACCGCATATACACATTAACTTTTTTACCCATTTTTTACTATTTTATTTTATTCCAAAAATCACTCCTTCTCCTTTATACTTTGAAAGATATATTCCTTCTCCAGTGCGTATATTTTTTAGAAATATTCCATTACCCTTATGTTTGACTTCTCCTGTGTCAATACTATCTACTAATTTATTTAATCCTTGTTTAACAGTTTTCTTGGTTTCTTCCCCAAATCTTTTTCCAAACTCTTTATTGTGCCTATCATATCTCCCACTCCTGAACATTTTTTGCATCAGCTGCATTCTTTGCAGTAGCTGCTATCTTTGCTTGCTTTTCCCTTTCTAAATTGTATCTATGTTCTTCGGCAGCTGTTACTTCTGCTGCTTTCTTTTCGTTGGCAAAACTTACTCCAGCAGCTGTACCACCAGCTATTGCACCCGCCGCGGTAAGACCAGCAAATATTAAAGGAATGGAAAATATAAATCCACCTTTTTTTACATTTGTGTCAATTCTTTCTAAGTCTATATCATCTCTGACTTTACAATATTTGTATTTATCAATAAGTTTTTTAGTTATGTTGATTTTTTTTACCATTGAAAGTTATTACAGTTGGTGAGGCTGTTTGAATAGCTTCTATTATTAAATTTCGGGGAAGGGAGGGTCTGATTCTCTCAAATGTACAGGCCTAGGGTGGAGCAGACACTTTATTTAGAAATTAGGATTAAGGGTCTTGATATTGGGTTTTCTTCTGTTCTTATTCTGATCTGAAATTAGAAAAAATAACTGTTATGTACTGATTGTTTTTAGTCTACTATGAACAATATTATCATTTAAGTTCTTATTTTTTGAATATGCAACTATCATTTTCTGCTTATAGACATGGGGGAATTTCTCTTGAATGCTCTTATAGTGGGCATGAACTATCTTGCTTGCTCGATTGCTGGTTGTATTAAACGGGACAACAAAGGGTGCTATGCCTACATTATGATGAATATTTAGTCCTATAGGTCTTGCTGTATTCAATGTCTCAATCCAATGGGCTTCCCTAGATTGACGGAATTTGGTAGTTTCATCTTCGGGCAAGTCAATTTCTATACGCTCAATTGGGATTAGGGCGAGATCGTCTATTGAATGGTCGTCGAGGTTGAAATGATTAGAAACAGGCTTGTCTTTCTTTAATTTGATGTCTGACCTATCAGCATTAAAGCGAGTTCGTAAATTATTCTTAGTTTCTCCTACATATTGTTTGGGGCATTTCTTGCATGAAATTAAATATATTACATTCGAATGTTCACATGTTAAATGTTCCTGGATCGGGTACCTTTTATTCGTAGAGTTGCTTACAAAATAATGAGTTTCTGATATAAAGGGACATGTTTTGCATCTGGACAAACATGGAGCACTTCTTAAACCTGGAGGTACTTCGGCATAAAGTCTGTTTTTAGCTGCTATCTGTGCTAAGGTGGAATTTTTTATGTTTCGTAAAAATCGTTTAGAGTTCCCACGCTCTTTCAGTTTTGAGAAACAAATTCGATGAAATCGTATAACTTGTGACTTAATTATACCAGAAAAGGTATGTTTTGGGTGAAAGGAGCTCTTGTGCAAGAGTTGATGAGTATCAGTTTCTTTGAAATACACTTTAATATCCAGTTTATTTGTTTCTGCTATGGAATCTCCTTTAAAGACTGTGGTATCGAGAAAGTCTATGCTTTTGTCACTTACGTTTGCGGTTAGCTTGATAGAGGGATGGTGGTTGTTGAGAATTTCAAAGCATTCCCAAAACTGTTCGATAGAATAAGTCCAAACCATAAAAATGTCATCCAAAAAGCGTCCGTAAAAAAGTGGGTCAAATGGACAGAGGGGCAACACCTCACGTTCCCACTCTGCCATGAAAAGGTTTGCGTACGAAGGGGCGAATCGTTTGCCCATTGCTGTCCCTTAAATTTGCAAATATGTTTTACCATTAAATGTGAAATCGTTTCGACTAAGACAAATCTCTAAAAGCTGTAGAATTGCATCGTCGGGTCTGTTTGGATCTGGGTTTCTATTAAAAGCTTTACGAACTGCCGTTAAACCAGTAGTGTTATCGATATTGGTATAAATAGAAGAAACGTCGATAGAAATTAAAATAGCATTAGAGGGAACTCGAAGATTTTTTATTTATAAATATCTTGCTGGTTTAATAGTGTTAGTGATTGGCCATGTGGTGGATTCTCCAGTTACAGTCATGCTACCTACCATATTACGATGAAGAAAAGCTATTTCAATATCTTTAGTTAATGAGTTGAATATTCTCGTTTCTACTTCAATTGATGGTGTAATTACGGGTATGAAAACTTGGAGATTCGTTTTTTCTAATTTTGCATCTGAACCATTCTCTCCAAAGAATATCTTATCATCGTTGATTTCTCTTTGTAGATGAACTTTATATGGTAACCCTATGGAAACCTTTCTGTGTTCCATCAGACCGAATAAAGGATATAATTTCCAATTTACGTAATTACCCCACCTATTATTCTCAACAACATTATTATACTGAAGTACTCGTTTTTCGAATCCATGATTAGCTGCTCGTGCTACTCTTTCTATTGTGTTTCGAGCAACAACTCTCACTCTAGCTAAATCAGCATCATTTGCAAGATTTCTCAACGGTTCTTTTAAAACACTTCCATCGCCAACATCGGGTATCCAACCTGAGTGTCACAAAATTATTAAGTTTTATCGCGCAAACGCATATTAATGGCTCGCGCAAACGCATATATGTGGCTCGCGCAAACGTACCTCTACGACTCGCGCAAACTAATGTAGATACGATTTACATGTTAATAAAAGTGTTGTTATTTTAGTGTCTTGATATTCCAGATGTTTGTCATGTGAGTATTAGATTGTATGAAAGTCCGTGCATTGTGTGCAAGAGTGCCATATAAGGTTTTGTGTTTGTCATTTTGTTACCCGGCAATTGGTTACGATGTTGAGTGAATCCTATGCTAGGTGTCTTAGGATGGAATTGGTGTTGGTTAATTGATACTTCTAGGTGAACAGTATCTTTCGGTAGAATGCTTCTAGGTGTATAAGCATATTGGGATCCGCTCGTCCGTCTTGTGACACTGAGTGTTTGATTGTTTCTATCGGATTTGAACCAGCTCCGAAACCATCTCGCTAAATAAAGATGGAAAGAAATTGTTTTCTAACGTTGTATTTGTTTGTGGTACACGATTTTCATTGGGAGTTCCTACTTTTATTTTGAAATCGCATCTGAAATAAGCATCGGAAAGAAGCAACCAATTCGATGATGAATTTATTTCGAAGGTAATTCTACCACCATCATTCAACTGGGATTTAGAACCAACAGTCGGTGAGTGATAATATAATCCTCTTTTTTCGTGTTAAATGAATAACGAATCGGATCGTATAATTTAAAGATTGGATCTAGTATTTTATTTGCCATTTTTAAGGTTTAAAAATTGAGTAGAAAATTGTGGTCTGTTTTTTTTTTCCAAAACAAGAGTTATCTTCCTTCTAGAAGTTTCTAGACTAAAAATAACATTATTTAAAACGAGGCTATTATGTTAAGCGAAAGAAGGATGCTATTTTATATAAGGGTATTTTTAATATTATGCTTTTTTCGATTAATTTAATGACTAGGTTCTTTTTTGGGGGTGGGGGTTGATGGAATGTAGGAATTGATTGAAGGTGTTTTTGGTGTAAGAATTTGTGAAATGTAGGGTGTTTAGGTCTTTTTGGGACCTTTCAATATGGTCGCACTTTCCCCATGGAATGAAATGGAGTGGGGAATCCCCTTACGACCATAAATTCTTAGAGCTCAAGCACGTGCTAAAAGAAAAAGCAAGAAAGAAAAATTTAAGAGGGCACCACGAACTACCCCTTATCAACGAAAAGATATCATCGACCACAGCCGTTAAACCTGGTAGATGTTCTCGTTGCGGGAAATGTGGTCACTGGGCGGACATTTGTTCCGAGAATAAAGAGAAGTTAAGTACAATTTACCCTTTTGAATGTTTGAAAACTAAAGCAAATATTGAGCCAAGCACGCTCTTTATTCAAAACGATCATTAACGGCATTATACTGTTATCTAATGTCGATAGTTTTAACGGTTCACTCAGTCATAACACAGCAGAGGTTTTGACACCGATAGGTAGGTTGAGAGAACACATAGACGAATGGCAGTCTATCACTTACAATATTTACATTCTCGACGTCATCCGCAACGGATACAAAATTCCGTTCAAAACAGAACCAAATGATATTTGTATTATGAATAATAAATCGGCACTTGACAACAGTGAATTCGTTCAATCAGAAATTAAAGCTTTGTTAGAAAAGAGGCTTGTATCAAAGGCTCAAATAAAGCCAAAATTGTTAATCCTTAAACATTTGCATCCTGAAATGATAAATATAGTATTGCCACAAATAAATGGATTTCATCAGGTGTAGTTTTGAAATGATGATCTCCCTTTTCACTTGTATATTTATTGGTTTCTGTCACTATCAAACTGACAATATCTTCATCAAAAAACCATTCAAATATAGTTGAAGGCGAATGGGCTTCAAGCAGAAATTCAGGTGTTGGCTCTTCCCACAATCTCTGACAACCTAAATTCTTGGGTATATGACTTTCCGCCATTGTGCTGGGGCATTTGGTATGAAGGACGGTTAGACCATCTTCCAGAACCTGAAAAATATAATCATATAAATATTTGATCTTTGAATGGCATTTAGTAAAGGTGTTGGATATAATGAAAAAATTCTTTTTCTGGTCTTTATCAAGCAATGATAATAATTTCATTGCTTGATAAGGACCAGAAAACACTGGTCGAAACGTCGCTCAAATAAAGTTAGTAATTGTAATCCATAAGAATTTTTTCATTATATATAAATATTTGTTTATGCATAAAAGTAGAGAATAAATGAACACAAAATATATTATCTTGGATAAGTTCAAACAGGTTAAATTTATATCCAACCAAAATATAAGTGTGTAAAATAGAATATCTCAACTGATGACATATCAACAATCATCCCAGAATCATGTTTCTAATGAAACGAAATTCAATGACCACTCACTGTTTCAATGCTGTCATCTTCAGGAATGTTTCCATCTGATCTAATAGTCACAGCTTCCCCAGAGAGTAATTCAATATCAACATCCGCATAGCTTACAACTGTTGCCTAGATAAGTTGTCAATGTCACCACTGTGGTCTTCATCTCCGCTATCTTCGTCGGAATTGGTTCCATCTCCAGGAGGTTGAAGGAAAATGTCTGCACTTCGTATGTTATAGGTGTCATCTTCGATAAGGGCAACAGCTTCATGACGTTTAAAGTTCTAAAAAATGACAATAATTCAATAAATTTCTAATCCAATTTCAAAATCGTGTGAGTATTCGAATACATCACATACTGAACCTATGTGTACAAAGAGTAGAAATAAGGAAATCAACGTAAATTTGACAGTTGCAATAATTAGCAGTATGAAAAAAACATGTACCCATCCGCAGCCATTGGGTCACTTATGGGACACTTTTTAATTTGCTCACAACTGCAACGGAAACGCTAGAAACGTGTCAAATGTTTGTCACAACTAATCTCATTGTTATATTTTATAGTATTTCTAAAGTTATTTCATGAATAAAGACCTTAAAATGTGAAAATTACTAACCTTTTCCTACTTGACATTATTTTTGGCATTTTCAAGGCTTTGGTGGGTTCAAGGGAGATAACTCACCACAACAGCTAAAAGTAGACTCGATCGGACTAGTCGCAATCAAACTCTATTTATAGACTTAAAATATCATATGACTAGGGATGGGCTTGGAACAAGCATATTATGCTGTAGTGCAATCAAAAACATGTCCCATTAATGGAACAATGGCTATAAATGGGTTAATTGATGCCTGTTTTACTTCCTTTATTATTTACGGTATGTTTTTTCTCTATTTGAAATAGAAATTAAAAATGTTTTTATTTTTGTAGAGGTGAAGAAGCTACGGATGTCAGAAAGAAAAAAATATATATACACTACTGACGTTAATGATTGAAATAAAATAGATAAAAAAAAAATGTTGTTCAAATTATATCATATCATATATAATGGAAAAAATAACCTTCTATTTCTTGTTCTTTTAGTTGTCTGAATGCATGAATGGAAATATATTTCATCCCTTCACAAATCTTAATAATTTTCATTGTGCTCCACAATCCCTTTAACTACAACCACCATCGAGCAATTCCACCCCCAATAATAATGACTTAATTCAGATACCAATAAGAGGCGTACAGTTTTTTACAATTTATCGTTAGGCTATAAACTAAAATATCAACAAAAATCATATACAAGATTGAATGATTGACTGGCAGTAATATACATTATTTAAAGGTGCTTAATATCGCTTGAATTAATTTATTTACAAACTTGTCTCTCAGTGACTAAAATAGAACATGATAATCTTGTCTAATTCACTAACGTTATGTAGATAATACAGAATATTATTAAATAAAGTGACAATAACTAGAGACGCATGAAAATTTCAAAAGGTCAAATGTTTTATTGAATGCGATTGCAGACAAAATAATTATGTAAGAGGTTAAGCGTGAAAATATTACATTTGACTCTTGTTAAAAGTGTTATATCTTTTCACTTTAAACATGAAACATATGAATTTTTACGCATGTCTTATGCATTATTGGTATTTTTAAAGGCAACTTGTAACTTATTACACAAAATATCTGTATTATCCTCATAAAATTAGTGAATTAAATAACGGAACACAATTTTATGGTATACTACTCCTTAGTTTTTCAATTCTACTTAGCATCGACTTTTGGCACTGATGCCCTTCCATGAATGTAAGTAGGCATGACTGATCTAATGTAGACAAATATGACTTCCATATGGATTCCTTCCGAATTGAAAGAAACTTAGCCATAATACTAATTACCCAATTACTGTAACACTGAACTGAAATTAATATACGTAGAATAATATATATCTATATAGACTGACAGGCTATTGAGATGATATTTGTACCTACATTAAATAAGCTTTAGAAAAAAGGCTCCGATAAAGTAGGCCAGGCCCTGATTGGTGCCTGGCCCACTTCAATTTTACTAGTGTAAACGGAATAAAGCGAGCTAATTTAATCGGGGCCTGGCCCCACAAAAAGAGGTGGGCCAGGTCCGGATCGGTGCCTGGCCCACTTCAATTTTACTAGTGTAAAACGAATGCCTGCCTAACTCCGTTTAAAAATTCTTCTGCGTATGTGCAGGGTTTACAACTTCCGTATCGGCGGCCATTATAAATCTACAAATAAATAAAATGTCCTCCGACAGAGGTAAAGGGTGGACGACAGAGGAAACGAAAGATTTCATCACCTTATGGGGAGATGAACGAATACAGACACAGTTGGATGGTATTCATCATAACCACAAGGTGTATGATAATCTCTCGAATCTTCTGGCCGAGAAAGGTTACCCTCGGAGGACTGGTTAATAAAATACTCAGAATCAATCGAAAATTATTGTTATTGTCCGCCATTTTGACTCCCCGTGGACCTTTTGTAATCTTTTTAATTAGAGAGCGCACGCTTATTTCCGTTTAAAGTGGGCCTGGCCCAGATCACAAAACGCCAGTGTAAACAGACGTTTTGATCGGAGCCAGGCACCGATCCGGGCCAGGCTCTCTTTATCGGGACCTAGTGTAAAAGGGGTATTAGTCGCTTTCATTACGAACGTGTGAAATAAGGCTATTTCTTTGATACGTGTGAGACAGATGCAGACTTTTGGTGTACGAGTCCTGTACTCTGTTCTGACGATCAATGGACTCGGTTTGGCACAAGTATCCAAACTATGTGACTCATTAAGGAGACTGAGTCATTTAATGACTGAATTGTGACACAATTAAAAGAAAAGCCGAATCAATGGACTCAACAAGTTGAGTTTTTGACTCATCAAATGAGTCGCGATTACTGACTTTTGTCCAAATTTTTTTCAGAGTGTGGGTTGAAGTTGGCTATTCTTTGGGGAGAAGTTGACCACAATTAATTTGGACGATGATGATGCTCAGTTGCATAAATTATTGTTTTGAGCGAAATTTAAAAAAGGTTCTCCATTCTTGTGTTCAATATGCCCAATAAGACACATATTTTCTTAATGTTGATACCATTCAATTTTGTATGCCCTACCAACTTCACCCCGTCAAAGTATATATCTATAGGGTTACTAGTGCAAATAAATGCCAATGTAGCATTGAAAGGTGAAGTTGGCCACTCGACATACAAGTAACCACATAGATGATTGTGCTGTAATTTCCTTGCTTAATACCAAATAGAACAATAGACAGTGGCGTTTCTAGAAAAGTAAAGTTAAGGATGGGGGGCACATGCTATGCTTTCACTATGTAAATTGATAATCATTTTAGCCCTCTGGTCCCCCTAGCAACGCCACTGACAAGTATTTTGAACACCGACTCCAATATCTTATAATGTGGTCAACTCCACCTTGGTGGAGTTGGGCGATCCGGGATCTCTGGTGTATCGCGATAAAGAAAATGTCCAGAAATAAACTCTTTATAATGTTATAAACTATCTCGTTTATTGTTTCTGCTGAAAGTATTTGAAAACTGGCACATGAGGCCCAAGATCTAAGACACATTGAAATTGGGTTATTCTCTGAAGGTAATATCTCGACCATGCAGGGACTGAACTCTAGACCTTCAAGTTAGAAAGAAAAAGGTCAAACTAACTGAGACACCGCGACTCGATATAAAGAAGAGGTAAATCTAACTTTTAGAATGAAAATTTAATACTGAAGTTATATAGATATATATGTATGCATAAATATCCATATAAATGCTTAAATATTATACCTACTACATTGCAAAATGCATAATCTAAGAGTATCGGTACATTGAATAATCCAATCTAGTAAGTGAGAAACGAATTAGTAATACTACATGATCATAATAGTTTTTATTGGTTAAAATATCTTCTTTTTTGCCCGCAAAACAACAATTTCGATTTATCCGATAATTTGCTTGGGTAATAGGGCAGTCGACAGCCACCGTACATGATATTGGACAATTTACTCATGTTTTCCGTGTTTCTTGTGGTCACGTACAACTAATACAGGTATATGAGAATGATGCACTACACCATCACTTACAGATCCAACCAGAGTTCTGCGTATGGTACCCATTCCACGAGAACCCATAACGATGAAATCAGCTTTTTTTTCTTTTGACGTGTCAATGATGATGTGCCACGGTTCTTTGCCATCTTCAGAAATGTATTGAAAATCCTTTATTCCATGTTTAGCAGCTAAAGCAGTGTATTTCTCCCCGAGTTTTTTTGCATTTTCTTGGGTCTCCGTCCACAGTTCGTGTAGTCGTTGAGGACTCATCATTCGCCCTACATCACCCCAATATTCAGGAACGTGCAGTCCTATCACCTTATTTCCTTGCCGGTGCACATGTTCTGCATACCAGATAAAGCAATGGTCAGAATGTTCACTCAGATCCAAAGCAATCACAGCTGTGGAAGTCGCCATCTTTCTTTAATATCCAATGTAGCCTATTTGGTCAGAATAATATTATTCACTATAACACAATATTAATCTTCGTGTTGTTTTGTTTGGTACTGGTTATATTCGACAACAAATATGGCTTCTCACGACTCTTAATATCGCGAATATCCAGACGTATATTGTAATACGTAGAGATGCCTGGATAATCAAATTGTTGTTGACCCGGTCAAGGTCATTTTCATGGAAATTTATATTGCTTTTTATACTTCAGTAGCAATTTCGATTTATTCAATTAATTTTGTCTCTATGTATGGCGTGTTTTATACTAAAAATATCCACTGTGTAGCAATCAGCTGTGAATTGATATTTTATAGCTGTACCACTCACAGTTTGTATCAACAATGCTGTAAAGTCGTCTGCTACAGTCAGTAATGCGATGTATACATAGGGTTTTTACGATATACTTTATCGCGAGTAAATAACCGGTTTTTTTTTTTTTTTCTTTTCTTTCCGGTCAATATGAGTGCAGTTAAGTCTGTTGTTGAATCCAAACACAATGGCTTATATTGGTTCATGCCCATGAAGTCACCGCTTGGGTGTTAATTAACCATGTAGAAACCAAAAACGGTGACTTCCTGGGAATTTTGTCAAAAAATGGATTTTGAGAACAATAGGATTACTGGGTGTTATCATAGTACACTTAAGCCGATGTAATCGGGTTATAGACAATTAACAATATTCTTCAAGTAATTCATTTATTTACATCATTTACAACAAATATGATACAGAATCTGCAAACTCGTAAACATTCAGTACGTTATTTCTATACTGTTCTATATTATTGCTAAGTCTTGATTAAAGTGTCTTGTATTTTCGTTTTTTTGGGAGGTTGCTGCAAAGGTCTATGGGAGCTGTGGTGGCGTCTACGCTTGCTCGCTAACCTGAAGGTCGAGGGTTCAATCCCGGCATAGGTCGAGATAATACCTTCGGATTTTTCAACCAGGTTTCCCCCTGTCAGTGATGCAGGTACGAGGGGCTGACATGGAAAAAGCGTCTAGTCGTTCGGATGGGACAATAAACCGAGGCCCCGTGTGCTACAGGCTGTGCACGTTAAAGATCCCTCGACAGTTGGAAATCGGAAAAGAGCAAGCTAAAGCCCACATGGTGCAGAAAAGTAGGACGTAAAACTCCATTTCATTTCATTTTTGCACAGGTTTATACTGGGACAAACAACTGAAATTAGATTACGATTTTGTATCTCTTGTTTTCTGATATTTGTTTAGTCTGTAAATAAAGGAAATAAGATCGACTGTCGAATAACAATAACTCGTTGGACCTGCAATTTCCCTTTCCTGGTAGATGTTTAATTCTTACACCTCTTATATAATCCTTAAATAAAAATGGTATGCTTGAAAATGATTACAATTAAACACTTCCTCGCTCGTTTGTCTAAAATTAGAAAAGTATACGATGGGAATAGAGGAGGCACGTCGGTAATCGTGTTTGCCTGTGTGCAGTGGTGGCAACCATGCGGTAGAGCCCCCCACACCCCCTCCCGGAGAATGCTCCAAACCAATTCTATTTTTCAAACTTTTCTATGTAAGAACCCTCTCAGGAGACTTGCGCCTTTGGCTCTTCAGTATTTGTAATCTTTAGCCGATGAGTCAGTCTGTTCCCCATTTGCACCTCAGTTCAAAGAGACTGGGACCGCCTCTGCCTATGTGGGTTAAGGATAATCATTATTAAAGCTGTTTTTGGTTTTATACCTGTTAAAGAGAAAAGGTAGGGAGCTTGAGTATGAAAGTTCAAACAGGATGATAATACCGAGGATCTTTTGACAGGTGCAAATCGAAAATATATGCCACTGTCGTTGGCTAATCATTCTTATTGTACACTGCATAGCGTTGAGCGTGTTTCTGAACCTATTCAGGTACAAAACAACATGGCATAAATTTATTTCATATTGCCAGTAACGTGTGTTAATTAAAAGAGTCGAGTTGAACGATCGTTAAATAATTTTATTGAATAAAAAAGACACACACAATATCTGTACATATGTTGTGAGAATTCCACTAGCCTTTGATACTAGAGAACAGTCTGGATGTTCGGGATACTGGGAGCATAAAACTATTTTTACATCTCTGAAAAGGATTGGAAACACTAGTTAGTAATGGTTAGCTGGGATTGATAGTTGATACATTTTTTAGATGAGGAGAAATTACAATAAACTTGAGTGCCTTTTTACTGCTGTGGCCATGTTGCAGGGAAGACATATACTCGCTCTTCCAGTCAGGTGCCACATAAGGACCGAGCTTTTAACTGGACAAGCCTTTGGACCACAAGTATTGTGCTTTAAGGATTATGAACTTTGTGCTTTATATAGACAGGATTTCGATTTAGAGCATCTGATTGTATCTAGACAAGATGATGCTGTGTTGTTTCTGGGCGTGATTTTCTAAGTATTGTTTTATCTATACAGGGTGATGTTTTGTTGTATACAGATAGGATTGAGTATATATCTTCCGAGTATCTGGACAGAAATGAGTAATTGTTGTATCTTACAAGGATTATGAGTATTTTGTTGTATCTAGTCAGGATTTTGAATATTGTATTGTATCAAGTAAATACTGTAGGTATATTGTTGCACCTGGAAAGTGGATTTTGTTGTGTCCAGATAGCATTTGAGTATTTTGTTGTATCTAGAAAGGATGTGAATATTTTGTTGTATCTAGAAAGCCTGCTAGGGGCCCTGGAAATTATTTTAATTTTTGAACTTATTCGAGGGTGCCAATAGACCAGGAAAGTGTCCGGTGCGGTATTCCCGATACAGTATAAAGGAAAAGAAAATGCACGAGATGCAGGGTCGAACACTTTGCGGATAGGATTCGATTTTTCTATTTTCTACTGTACCGTAATTCTGCACCAGGGCATCATTTCTTTACCCTTGCAGTGTCAGAGAGTGAGGGAGGCTCTTGACAAAAATACGGCGATCTATGACTGTGCTACGAATTTCGCATTTGAAATATAATTTAAAACTTGGAAGTCGAAAAGAGAATATTTTTTTTTATTAAATACAAGAGAAACACACGATAACTAAATGTAGAAATTCAACTGGCATCAGATAGTAGAGAACAGTCTGGATGTTCAGGATACATGGAACATAAAACTATTTGTACATCTCTGAAACAGGAGTTACATTATTTACATAAGATTATCATAGTTCAGATCAATAAATTTCAGAAACATTGTAGTCAAAATTACCTCAAAAATCATTTCATTCAATTTTACAACCTAATACTCGTCTTGTACCTCTCTGCTGTGGCAGGGTTACGTACACTCTGGGACTTAATTTGTCAACAAGAAATGCTCTTATTGAGTCCGATTATGGATATATTGTTGACATGAGTTAAAAATATTCTGTTGTATTTCGTAAAGGTACAGAAGCTGTATTTAGCAAGGATTATAAACATTGTGTTGATTTTGAGTATTTTGTTGAATTTGAACCGGATGATAGGTCTACTTAGGTGAAGACAATGTTATGTATTTTATTGTATTGAGATATGTTCTCTGTATTTTTGTATCTAGACATGGTGCTGTTTTGTTGTATAAAAACTCGAATGTGTATATGATTGTAGTTAGATATTATGATCTATGCATTGCTTTATCTTTAAGAAATATGAGAACTTTTGGTATTTAAACACGATTATGTTTTGCTGTATACAGAAAGGGGTATGTAGTTTTATTGCAACTAGACAGATTTTAAATATTTTGATGTTTCTAATAAAGGGTGTTACCTAGACTGGATAATACATATATTGTTGTATCTAGACTGTATTATAAGTATATTGTTTGACTGGGTTATAAATATAGTGTTGTATTTAGACTGGATTTTAAGTATATTTTTGTATCTAGACTGAATTAAAAGTATATGTTTATATCTAGACTAGGTTATAAATATATTTTAGTATCTATACTGGATTATAAGGTTTTTTTTGTATCTAGACTTGTTTATAAGAATATTTTTGTATCTAGACTTGTTTATAAGAATATTTTTGTATCTAGACTGGATTAAAAGTATATGTTTGTATCTAGACCAGGTTAAAATATAAGTATATTTTTGTTTCTAGACTGGATTATAAGTATATTTTTGTATCTAGACTGGATTATAAGTATATTGTTGTATCTAGACTGGATAATAAGTATAGTGTTGTATCTAGACTGTATTATAAATATTGTGCTACATCTGGCGGAGATGTGAATATTTTGTATTTAGACAATGTTTTGTTGTAGGACTATCAAGGATTATGTATGTTATGATTTATATAACAGAATTATGAACATTTTGTTTCGGTCATTTTGTCATAAGATTATGTGTATTTTTGTATTTTGGCAAGATTAAAAGATTTTTTGTATGGCATTCGCGCATCTATTGGATTGGATAAGTTTACCACGAATCATAAAGTTCTTTCGAGGAACAAAGAATAAGATTTTTCCTGTTTTCCTGAGTGGTATTCTCAACATGGTTTTAAGGAGATGTAATCTGTATCTTGGTATGGTAAAAATGGAAGCTTTTTCTTTTAATGATCCTCATTCATTCTCTTTTTACCTTGGATTGTCTATACAGGATGCTTCTATACCATTTTTCTTCAATGTGCTTTTTAATAACTTGATAGAATCATCATTGCATGTTGACCTTTAAAAAAATATCAACATTTTCCTGTTAAGGGAGTATGGGTGCGGATGGTGCATAAGTCAAATGGTCCATACGTTTTCGTGTTGATACTCATTATAGTATCAATTTATAACGTCTGACTGAAAAATTAATAAATAATTCAACAAATACTTCGAATAGTTACTTGCAATGAACAAATTCGACATGTGCTCATTAGAACTCACATTTTGTTGTTTTTAACCTAATTTATGTGATTCATAAACGTCAAAACACTCACCTAGTTTCATGACCTGCATATTTCACTAAAAATATTTCTGCTTTAGAAACTCTGTCACCGTTAAGGTTTGGCAATTCATTGTTTGCAAAATACCTACAATATAAAGACAATACATTTCTGAAACTTATTTTATGAATTATAATCGGCTTATTATTTATTAGATTTGTGTTATTTTAATATTGAAACTATTGGTTAGGCTAGGGATTGTAAACCTTTTTCTTACCCTTTTCATGATTCTTGATCAATTACATTACCCCCCTTTTTTATAAATCCTTACTATTTTGTAATTTCAAATATAATTGTCTAAAAAATATATATGCTTAAAATCCCTGGCTTAGGTAAAAACTTTCCGCTGCCTCCAATTAGGAAATTTCCTTCCATTGTCCCTTCAACCCAATTTCTGATATTGACGAAGGATTATCTTATAAAAGGTCTTCCTTTTATATACTTAATGCAAATTGAAAATCTCTCTAGAACCTTTTTAAGGGTAACATTATATTCACAAACCCTAATGTTTAATATTAAAATCAGATCCAAAACTCACGATTTCTCTTTAAACGTATTTTCAATGCTTGCATTCAGCATAATGTAAACTTTTCCATTAACATCTGAAGAAAACTAAAAATCCAATATAATTATCTGTTTAGTGTTAAAATCGGGTCCAATTTCGCATGAAGGTGAAATCGGTCTCAAACTGTATATCTTTAAATTTTAAAAACGGGCAATGTAGATATACCCTAATGGCGTCCTTACTGTGCTGCTACGGCTTCGACGAAATATTGGCACAGAGCGTCACCAGCATAGTATAAGCTTGTAGGAAACACCAGACATCACACGATGTTCACCATTGATCCCTGGGTGGGTCGCTACGAATTCTTCGGTGCGTAACAGTCTTGTTGAATGCGCCGTTACATGGTCGCATAGGTGGCGGATTGTGGGCGAACGTTTTACTTATAGAATTAATTTTTTTCTTGCCTGCGATCCAATGTCGTAAGATTTCAAAAGGTCGCAATCAGGTGTGACGGGGCTAAAATTCTCTTATTCAATCGAGTTATCGTCTTCGGTGCTGGCACGATGTACTAAGGTCAGTGGTAGTGAAAATGGACAACTTTATGACAGTAGACCTACCTGCTCTGAGGCACCGACCCAAAAGGAATATTCTGCATTTTTCTCACAGTCTCCAGTAGCATCAAAACCTGCACAGGTTTCGTTTATAATCATTCCTGGATCTTCCAACTTGGCACAGAAGTGAAGACCATCAGCTATATAGCCTATAAACAATATTCAGATATTCATCTATTTGTAAACATCTTTCACTAAGATATCTTTAGTATTATCTCTTAAATCATGATGTAGCAACAGTGCTATCTTTAAACATTAACCATATGCCACAAATGATTCAGATTGAATTGAATTGAATTTTATTAAGTTTTCATTCAGGTATAATAAGGAAATCATTCATTTATAAAAACAAATATTCATGTTTATACAATTCCTTCAGATTTAAAAAAAAAATAAAAAAAAAATCATTCAGATTTAAAAAAAAAACATTCAGATTTTATTATAATCAATAAGATTTATAAAAGAAATCATTCAAATTTGTGAACACAATTTACACCTGTTAGTGTAAAACCCAATCACAACTCCTTTAAAGGGACAGATCCACCATCGGTTTGACTAATCATACCTATCATTCTCAAAGATTTTAGCTTAGTAACCAGATATCGTGTTCATAGCTCACAGTCAAAATTTTAGTTCTAGAATTATCCGCGTTTGAAGGTTAAAAACACGACTCGTCTTTTTTGAGAAAATAATAGTATAGAAAAGACATGTATAAAGATAGAAAGCGAAATTTCTATTTTGATGTTTATTTGAAGGGATTATGCGATTTTCGTACATTCTAGTACTTCTGAAGATTATTTACATATATTCCAGATCCATATCAATCCATGAAAATGGCGAATCATGGCCTTTAATTACTTACCATAAAGAGTGTCCGCTATCGATACAAGTCGTTTACCTTGATTAGCATACAACGCTACAGCCTGGTACACATCTTCCCAAAATATAGACTGAAAGGAAAAGTAAAGACTTAATACATTAGCGACCTTTCATACGAAAGTCTCTATATTGTGTTAGTTGACATTATAAATCCCGCATTTTAACGCAAAATTCCACTATTCTTATAAAAATTGTCTAAATAAGCGATGATTTTCTGGGGTTTTTTTTAACTCAGTCTTCAACAAACAGTGATATCGAAGGAAACGACGTGAAAATAGCCTTTTTGTTGTTTTACAATGAACCTCATCCCTCGAAACTTAGAAATAAAAAAAAGGTGCTGCCCTGGTATTTAGCGTTGTCTGCCTTTTAACAATGGCAAAATGATTGAAGGTATAAATCAATCAGCACCTTATTAGTCTGTACAGGATGTCTGGTTAGATTCAGGTAATCATTGAATCTTGATACAGACACATTACATGTCGGTTGATACAAAAATGCTTCTACGAATTTGTCAGCGACTTCATCACAATTTCTCCGACTGAAAAATATAAAATCAGATTAAAACATCAGCACAAGCAGAAAGATAAGGTCAGTAACTCTAAAACTGTCCATTGAATCGGCATTTAAAAGAATACATCGCCTTAGAATTAACATATAATTTTAATTTCGCTCAAACTTGGCCAGTAACAATATTATATCCGTCAGTGGATTTACTTGGTGTCATAACTATACATCAAAATTCCTCTATAATTTGATATATCCACAAAATCAAGTAATTAATTATAAATCGCTGAATACACCCAGTTAGCGATTTTCAAATTGTGAGTCTTGGAAATCCGCTGTTATCATACGGGGAAGTAACGCTTACATGGGGTTTCTCGCGTCCTTGACCTCTACTCTTGAATTGGCCTCGACATCGTCATCGTCAGACATTTTTTTGAAGAACCCACGTCACATAAATTCACGGAAGACCAAGAAGAAGCAATTTATATCATTAAGAATGATTTCTCCACCACTGACACAATTTTCAACGAATATTAATCATTGACAAAGTTTGTTTGTTTACACCGAAAGATGACTGCCATTTTGCGTTTGCGCATTGATGGGCTTTTCCTTTTTCTTGTTATAGCGTTGATTACCCAGGCTCTTTTTTTTTCAAACTGGACGGATTCATCTGTTGCTCACTTATTTTTTTTTTAATTCTGAATATAGTTTAATTGTCGCCTTTTCAAAATTGATCAAGTGTGGGATGCATACTTATTTAACCAATGTTCACCATTAAACACAAATAAAAGCCGTAGGAAAAGTTTATACTAAGACACCTACGTTTAAACACCTAATAATGCTTTATCTTTGTAAATGCAGCGATTTGATTGGATTGTGCCTTAGCGAATATAGCCAGTCAGAGTCTCCGACAGAAAGTCGGCCAATAAGAAGACTTAATGTTTACAGTCTTTCTGTCCAGGGTTATGATTGGCTGCATTCGCCGGCGAATAATCCTTCTTCTTGTAGGAATATTTGTCTGGTGCATTTGCAGTGGCTCAACCATGTCTACCTTGTAAGGGGCCCCACCGCAAGAAAAAAAAAATGCAATGCAAAAATATTTTTAAAAATATTTCTTGGAGTAAGGCCCCCAACCTATTTAAGTCCACGGGCCCCTACTCATTTAGTTCAATCACTGTACATTCGGACGTAAACCCAAGTTCATCATATATAACATCAAAACAAAATAACATCATTACCTGTTACAGAATACATCGGGTTGAATAATTGTTTGATATAGCAGACATTTTCCTTTCACCAATTCCTTTATTTGAGATGTCGTTCCACCATTACAAAATGACGTCACCACAGCAATTTGACACAGCAAGATTATGAATAGTGTTTTCATTGTAATCTTCAGTCCTTTAACAATGATAACAGACAATATATTGGGCCTTACCTTGAAGGGATTGTAAAGAGATTTTCTAAATTTTTATGTGTATCGAGGACACTGATAATATCAATTTGCACCAATCCAATTTTCAGTCAAACGTTAGTGGTTCCTGCAATTCCTCAAATTTGCTTTATCGCATAAGGTTCTTCGCTAAACATTTAGTTTTTAGTAGAAATGCAGGAAACACAGATGTCTGATTGAAAATTAGAAAGGTGCAAATTGATGCTTTCAGTGTTCCCAATACACATAATTTATTTTACAAAACCTCTTTACAACCCTTTAAGTCAGAGTATTATGTCAATATAACATTACACGTGTCACACCGATATGACTACCTCCTAGATACAAATGTATGTTTATTATTCTATACGTTACATATTATGATTTTATGGTGATGCATCGAGTTTCATCCTCAGAAATGTCATTATTATAGTCGTTAAATAGGCATTCGGAAACCCTCAGCAATTTCCATAAAAGTTTAATCTACCTCAGTGACGAATGAAATATTTGGAGGTGTCTTCGTATGTCATTTTATCACTGGTTTGTCACGTGATTTCTGACACTACTTTTTATGTATTCACGCTTGATTGGGTTTAGCAATTACACATTTTATTATCATTCTGAATACATATATTACGTTGTTTATTCTTTTTTTTTGTGGCCTTTTTGACAAACATTAAGTGTAGCCTATAATGTTGAACTATCAGTCTTGGTTTCGACAAACAATGGCTGCCATAATATGTGTCCTCATTTAAACTTTCAATCGAGAATTTAGACACACATGGATTTGAAACCCGAAATTTCGACAGTGAGCTTTGAACACTATTACTGATTTGATTATCTTGATTTAAAAATCCTGTTTCTCAGACTAAGGTGGGATTGGTCAAAAGGAAAGTGAATCTGTCAATTTAATTGTGACTAATTTGTCAAGGACCCTAATTACTGTGACTAATGTAGCCTTTAAGCATATTACTGTGACTAATTTACCCTGTAAGCATATTACTGTGACTAATGTAGCCTTTAAGCATATTACTGTGACTAATTTACCCTGTAAGCATATTACTGTGACTAATTTACCCTGTAAGCATATTACTATGACTAATTTATCCTGTAAGCATATTACTGTGACTAATTTACCCTGTAAGCATATTACTGTGACTAATTTATCCTGTAAGCATATTACTGTGACTAATTTACCCTGTAAGCAAATTGCTGTCACTAATTTATCCTGTAAGTATATTACTGTGACCAATTTACCCTGTAAGCATATTACTGTCACTAATTTATCCTGGAAGCATATTAGTGTGACTAATTTACCTTGTAAGCATATTACTGTGTCTAATATACCCTGTAAGCATATTACTGTGACTAATTTACCCTGTAAGCATATTACTGTGACTAATTTACCCTGTAAGCATATTACTGTGACTAATTTATCCTGTAAGCATATTACTGTGACTAATTTATCCTGTAAGCATATTACTGTGACTAACTTACCCTGTAAGCATATTATTATGACTAATTTATCCTGTAAGTATATTACTGTGACTAATTTACACTGTAAGCATATTACTGTGACTAATTTATCCTGTAAGCATATTACTGTGACTAATTTACCCTGGAAGCATATTACTGTGACTAATTTACCCTGGAAGCATATTACTGTGACTAATTTACCCTGTAAGTATATTACTGTGACTAATTTACCCTGTAAGCATATTACTGTGACTAATTTATCCTGTAAGCATATTACTGTGACTAATTTACCCTGGAAGCATATTACTGTGACTAATTTATCCTGTAAGCATATTACTGTGACTAATTTACCCTGTAAGCATATTACTGTGACTAATTTACCCTGTAAGCATATTACTGTGACTAATTTACCCTGTAAGTATATTACTGTGACTAATTTACCCTGTAAGCATATTACTGTGACTAATTTACCCTGTAAGCATATTACTGTGACCACTTTACCATGTAAGCATATTACTGTGACTAATTTACCCTGTAAGCATATTACTGTGACCACTTTACCATGTAAGCATATTACTGTGACTAATTTACCCTGTAAGCATATTACTGTGACCACTTTACCATGTAAGTATATTACTGTGACTAATTTACCCTGTAAGCATATTACTGTGACCACTTTACCATGTAAGCATATTACTGTGACTAATTTACCCTGTAAGCATATTACTGTGACCACTTTACCCTGTAAGCATATTACTGTGACTAATTTACCATGTAAGCATATTACTGTGACTAATTTACCCTGTAAGCATATTACTGTGACCACTTTACCATGTAAGCATATTACTGTGACCACTTTACCATGTAAGCATATAACTGTGACTAATTTACCCTGTAAGCATATTACTGTGACCACTTTACCATGTAAGCATATTACTGTGACCACTTTACCATGTAAGCATATTACTGTGACTAATTTACCCTGTAAGCATATTACTGTGACCACTTTACCATGTAAGCATATTACTGTGACTAATTTACCATGTAAGCATATTACTGTGACTAATTTACCATGTAAGCATATTACTGTGACTAATTTACCCTGTAAGCATATTACTGTGACTATTTTACCCTGTAAGCATATTACTGTGACTAATTTACCCTGTAAGCACATTACAGTGACCACTTTACCATGTAAGCATATTTCCGATAACCAAATTATCGCGCTCCTTTCAGAAGCTTGCATTACAAAAAAAACAAACCTTTAAGAAGTTCTGGTGGACTGGTTCCAGGTAAAATAGACCAAACGTTCGCGATTAGCTGGTACTCAATGGCTTCCACCAAGAACGACGGAATATTTATAGCGCCACAAGCCATTACTTTATATTTAATTCACTAATCAGTAAATTATGATAATCGAATAATTGGAATGAAATGTTCAAGCTAGGACAACATTAACCGCGTAGTTTATTAGAGTGGAAGTGTGTGCTAGCTTCCTTTTAAAGTAATGATTGGTCATTTTCAGGGATTGATTTGGGTCTTGAATATATGTAAATAGTTTTCAGAAATACTAAAAATGAACTAATATCGCATAATTCCTTCCTAAATATCTTAACTGGGAATTTCGCTGTCTATATCTATAGGCTATAATTATGTCTTTTCTATATATGGCAGAGTCTCAAGAAAAGACGAGTCGTATTTGTAATTTTCTAATGAGAATAATGCTGAACACACATGTGGATTTCAAGACCCTTTAAACATGAAAACCCTTTCTCGATGTTAGTTACACGCCTGCTTGCTTAAAAAAAGTAATCTAGGTCGAGAGAATACCTTTAGATACCTTGGAAAAAAGTTTAGTCGTTCGGGTGGGACAAGAAACCAAGACTATGTGGTACCGACTGTGCAAGTAAAAGATCCTTCAACAGATGGAAATCAATATAGTAGGAAAATACTGCTGTCTTGGAAAAATACGTAATGCTGTTGAGACGGACGTTCAATTCTTATATTTATGCTGTAAACTGGCATGCACTGCCCCTTTAATGTCATGTTTAGTCATGATAAACGTACTAATAGTGATCAAAGTCATTACATATCACGATTATGGTCTCACAATGGCAGTTGTCAAAATTCAAATTATTTTTATGGGATGAAATCGTCTAAATACCTGTTACATCTGTTACTGACGCCCTCTTTTCGCCGCTTTCTCTCCATACTCTTTGTCGTTTTTACCCTCTCTTTCTCACCTTTTTCTTGGCTTTGTAGCCTTTCGACTTCTCGTTGAGGGTCCCATAGTTTCCTTATATTTGCATGTATGCATACATTCTTATATATTCGGTTTTTGGACGGCTTATATCAATGAAAATAAGAGGTTCTAAAGATTGGGAAAATACCAGATATGAATGATGGATAAATGTGTATTGAAAATTACTCTTACATTATTTACAGAGATAGGTAAACCTGTCTTGTATTATATTGAGATTGAAATAAGACGAGGTTTCATATATTACAGCTTAATCTTGTTTGGCTAGTATAATGTCACAGTAGTATTTTAAAGGGGTAGTTCGCCATCCATTTTACCAATCGTACTTAGTCCCAGGAACTTCGAGTAATAGTATACCGTCGACATTTGAGCCTTCAAATCCATATGTCTTGAATTATCTACGTTTACAAGTGTAAATGACTCAAAATATAGAAAGGACATACATGTATACATGAATATAAAGTTAAATTTCTAGTTTGAGACGTGTTTGAAGGAATTGGATTTTTGTACATTCTAGTATTTCTGAAGACCATTTACATATATTCAAGACACAATTCAACCTCCGAAAATGGCAAATCTGTCCCTTTAAAGTTCACTTACATAAAAACTGAAATATGTTGCCATCAATTTTTTACGTATAGGGTAACACCCCCTATGAACTTGATTTGGAAGAATATAAAAGTGTGAATTATGATGACTAATATGTAAACTTCAGTTAGGTAAATAATTGTCTATCAATAGTGACTTCATATAGCAATCATTCTACTTATTTTGAATATGAAAGGGCATACGTTAAAACCATTAGTGCAAGACTTCCCCCCTGATGATAATGAGGGGATGACATACCACAAAGCCCTAACTGTTTTGTAAACAGGTAAACAAGAAATAGGTAAAACAAGTGAGGCTGAAACGTCTAATATTGTTTTCGAATAAAATTGCAATAATCAAAACTTACGAAACATACTCCAAATATTAGATGAAAACTGGTACACACGTTTTAATATCTGGAAGAATTTCAACAGGTCTTCAAATTTGCTACTATTATGGTTAGCTGTTGGCAATTGAGACTTTGTCATTATTTCAGTGGCCGGCCAATTTTTGTGGCCGATGGATACACTAATTTTTTGGATTTTATTGTAATTGTTGTAATTGAATCAAAAAACGAAACGTTTGTAATTCATTTGTAATTCAAATAAAACGTCTAAAAACTCATGAATTCAATACATCATAACCTAGTTTTCAACATTTATTTGGCCAGTGATATCCAATATTGTGAACTGGCCAGTCAAAGACGAAGGCCCTACATGGCCAATTTTTGCATAGTTCACAGTAAGGGGATGGGGAAGATTTTTTTAATGAAATTAGCAGGAATCAACCAACATGGTGCCTTCAGATCCGTGAATATCACTAAAATTCCTAATTAATGGTATTTTTATGCCTAACTGTGTCAATGACGAAACCTCTACATGGCCAATTTATGAAAAATGGCAAATGTTTCTGATGGTCTCCTATGGAATTATGAATGAAATTTTTGGTGCCAGTGTGCTCCTGAGATGCCAATGGGGAGAAATCCTTTTTTTCCCAATACTATCTAAAATATATTGGTCTTCTTTGACTGGCCAATCCGCCATATTGGATATAATGTCATTTGCAAAATTTTGCAAACTATAAGCAGAAAAAGGATTTCATCCCATTTTACACTGACATGTGTTAGATTAGCATCTCGGGACCTCACATGCACCAAACATTTCACATAAATTCCATAGGAGACCATCGGGTCAAAATTGGCCATGTAGAGGCTTTGTCATTGACTAGACAGTAAAAGTAGCGATATTCATGGGTCTGAACGAACCATGTATTTACATCTTTATCTCAAGATGTGACATTATAATGGGAAAAATGCACTATGACCCTATGAGTATAGAAAATATCGTTTTTCGTCATAATATTGTAATTCATAATTCGATTCTTTCCTTTGTACACAGTCACTGGCCGGCCACAAAATTTTGCCAAAAGGTTAGGAACAAAGCCTTAACTCGATGTTGGTGGGGATTACGCGACTAACTTAGATACATAAAAACGCCATCCGATGATTAACCTTAGAGTTATCCCGATGAGGCACCTTGCCTCGTGGGGCGTACAACCCCATGCTACCCTAATGTGTTTTTCGAATGGCTAAAAGTATCTGCTTTTGAATATATAGCAACATCGTGGCATTGATATCAACTGAAAGTACACAGCATACCACTCAAAACCTATTAACATACTACCAAATCAAAGATAGCCGCATAAAGTTTCCTTAAAGTCCATGGTTCGCCATTTTCGGGGTTGATTTTGGGTCTGGAATATAATAATAAAAGTACCCCTTGTCAGTAAAATAGATGCAAAACGCGTCTCTTTAATCTTGAAATAATTTATGCTCTCGTTTTACTGAATTTATTATATTCGAATTTTGTTTGATGTTCCTGGATCGGGTACATTTTATTCGTAGAGTTACTTACAAAATAATGAGTTTCTGATATATGCTTTGCATCTACTGGACAAACATGGAGCACTCCTTAAACCTGGAGGTACTTCCGGCATAAAGTCTGTGCTAAAGTGTTTTTTTATGATTCGTAAAAATCGTATCAACGCTCTCAGTTTTGAGAAAACAATCGTACAGGCTTGGTTGAAATCAGAAGATCTTGTGCAAATTCGGTGAAATCGTAAAACTTGTTTATACCAGAAAAGGTATGTTTTGGGTGAAATGATCTCTTGTGCAGAAGTTACCAAGTATCGGTTTCTTTCAAATACACCTTAATATCCAGTTTATTCGTCTCTGCTATGGAACCTCCCTTGAAGACAGTGGTATCGAGAAAGCCTGTGCTTGTATGACCGAATATTGTTGTCATATTAGCAGTTTCGTCTAAAAATTGGTTCCGAGAAAATGGCATAATGTTTGAGATTATTCAGTTGATTTTCTGTTTCTGAAACGTAATCCTCCCTATTCAGAATGCCACAACAACAACCTTTGTGACTCTCTTTATTAACAATGATATCTTCTTTCTTAAAGAAGTAGAACGCTTCACGTTCTACTCTAGACCGAAACATCTCTATTCCAGCCTCTAAAACTATTTGGATAAATGTCAGCGAGTGTAGATACAGAAACAAAAATCCCTGTTAAATAGGAACATTCCGCATCTCCGCAGGTGCAGGGGTTTTAAACCTATTTAGATACCTAGGATCTGTAAAACCCAGGTATATTTGGAAAGATGAAAATTTTTGTAATTTAGTCATACCATCATTTTCTCACCATTTCTACACCACTTATCTCATGTCTTCGGATTTTTTTTTTAGGGGAAACTTAATTAGCATCGGACATTTAAAACTGCGTTCGCAGAAAAAAGTTCAAAGGTCACATGCCTACATGCAATAAGACGGTAGCTGGTTTGGATCATGGTCGTAAGATTCCAGCATTGACTGGATGTGATGGATCTGGGCACCAGGGTACGAATGTATTTCGGTGTCTGAAGTAGTGTTGGTAATTCGGTTCGGGTTAGAGCATCCAATAATCAAGGTTCTTAGGTTATTTCTGTAGAGCAGGTAGATTCCATGCATAGCAAATTCGCCACAGTGTGAGACAAGCATTATAATATACAGTTGAATTATATGTAATATATCAAAAATCAAAGATGGCGGCCGTACACTTTCTACTATCAATACACTATTGCCTAATCTTGTTATACCTTTACAGAAACAACCTACAGAATATAATCAGTATAACATACCTTTAAACTAATTGATCTATTTTCTAACTATCCAATTAATCCATACATGTACAATCCATGAAATATGAAATCAAAATTTCTCGCCAAAACCAGGTAAAGGAAAAAAATATAAAAACTGGCGAAATGACCAAAATATAAGAAGTAAGTATGTTCAGAGTGATGAGTTGAAATAGCTCACCAATAAATAAAGCATAAAGAGGATAGAGCAGGGTGAACAGAGCAGGGTGAACCGATTTGAGTGGATTGTTCAGTGTGGACTTGTAAACTATATAGCTGAAACATAACCCGTACACTGTATGCCGCAATACTTATCTAGAAAACCTGTCAGCCTGGGACCTTTTACATGGTTTGTAGAGGAATAAGAAAGGATCCTACATGCGTATATTTTGGATTTCATATCAAATGAATACTTTTCGGAGAAAAAAAATCCTTTATCTTACACTTGCTGAAACGTTCGCATGTTCCCCTTAGTTTCAAGACGACTGGGGGTTTTATTCTGAACAGCTTGGAATCAATAAAGCTCAGTACACTAGTATATCCGGATTATTTCATAAGTTTAACCAGAAAGAAAAGGACATGTTATAATATTAATATTTTATTACCAGGGAAATTCAGCGTCAAGGCGTCTTTCTGATGATGGTTTGCCTATAATACAAAGAATAAAAGTTTATAATGTACGGCTAAACTCAATCCTATGCGATTCGCACAGAAAAAGTAGCCGTAGTAGAAAAGTGCAGACCATACTGAAACAATATAGCCTGCAAGATCCATTAATGTTTTGTTAGTGAGTAACGCAGACCAAAGCTTTAGTTCTTTGAGAATGTGATGTAAAGATTTTCCCTGCCCTCGCAGGTTGTCAAGTTATGTAATTTACCTCCTGGACGTCTGTCTGCTATTAACTGACACAGACCACGAACTTTTTCATATATTGGTTCTGTACTGGTTGAGTCAGCAAATTCTGTACATAATGCTCTCACAGCAGCTCTTATTGGTGAAGGCTTGAAATCTAGAAAAGGAAGAGATTAAAATACCCAATACATTTATTCCTAATGACGGAATCAAACTTATACACGATTACGGCGCAATACTCCAGTACCACGAACGTTAAAATGTACATACCTCGTTTACCAAACCACCAGGCATCAGCGGTGACCAATACTGCTATTAATACTACCAATGTAAGTTTCATGTTGACAATCTAAAAATATACATTATGGTATCATTAGGATATATTGGTCAAGATCTACTACCAGTTTATTACAAGATATAGTAAATAAAATCAACTTGAACACGGTGAGAGTTGACTACAGATCAGAATATATTTAAAGTATATCATCATGTTATATATAAATACAGACATTATTTACCTGTAGTTGTGAAGAGACACGTCCTCTATTTCCTCAAGATCTGTGGTGACAATAAATTCTGACTGAGAGTGTCTTCTATTTATTTATAACATGCACGTGCAAATCGAGTAGGTCATAACGAGTCTGAGTTTGGGTGATATGTTTTGGTAGTGGAGGGATTCGTTTCAGCGACCAATTATTTTGGACTTTGGATTTTACATCCAACGCTTCCAATCGGATTCGTGAACACGAGAAATGCTATACAGTGTGCAAGGAAAGTTTCCCAAGAAAGCCACCAGAGTCTACGAATGGCAGAAATTGCATGCAATAACAGCATGTTTTTCAAATATTGTGGGTCAAATAGAGCTAAAAAAAAAGCCTTTATTTTCTACCAAAATTAGCTAGAGTTTTAATCCTGCTTGGTTGAAATTTTGGTATGAATAATTTGGGGATCTCCTATAATTTCGAAAGTCACCATTGTTCATTCATGGAACATCTCATCAATATATTTTAGGGCTTAAATTTGCGTCGAAAACTATAGATCAAAACTGAAACCTAGGGCAGCCGCGGAGGATCGATGAGTAAGACGCCTTTTCTCTAACCTGAAGGGCCAGGTTTCAATCATAGCAGAGGTCGAGATAATAACTTAGGATAGATATTTCAACCCGGTTCCCATTCGTTAGAGAAAAGTAAGAATGATTTATACATGGTTCCTGAGTTGTTGCACTTGCCTTTCTAAAAAATCATCAGACATTAATTACAAGAACTCGTCTCCTACGTTCGTGGCACTGGAGTATTATGCTAGACGCGATATCTAAAGCGTACAGATTTGGTTACAATTTAAAGCCCGTCTTCATTTAATAATCCTTTTCTAGATTTCAAGCCTTAACCAATAAAAGCTACTATTAGAGCATTATATACAGAATTTGCTGACTCAACCAGTACAGAACCAATATATGAAAAAGTTCGTGGTCTGTCAGTTATTAGCAGACAGACGTCCAGGAGGTAAATTAATTACATCTAAATCATAACTTGACAACCTGAAAGTAGGGGACGGGAGAATCTTCACATCAAATTCTGAAGGTATTAAAGGTCTTTGTCTATGTTACTTGATAACAAAACATTAAAGTACTGAATCTTGCTGTGCTATATTGCTTCAATATAGTCGGCACGTTTCCGCTACGTCCTCTGTACGGATTGAATTTAGCCGTAAATGTATTATAAACTTTTATTCTTTGTATTATAGGCGAACCACCATCAGAAAGACGCCTTGACACTGAATTTCCATGGTAATTAAAATTTTAAACATTGTCTTTTGCATTCTGGTTAATCTTAAATGATCCAGATAGATACCAATGGAACAGCTTTATAGTCAATAAGCTGTTGAGAATTAAACCTCGTCTAATTTACCATACTTACTGAGACGGAGATGGAATGAAATTATCCTCAAAGGGATATTGTCTCATATTTGCTTTGCCAACCGTCACTTAAGGTCGGGTATTAACAAAGGCAGCCATGATCGAAAGAAATGACTAAATTGTTTGGTACTCCTCCTGAAACCGATCGGACACTGAGTAATGTTTCTCATTCTGCGTCTGGTTATCAACCCTATCCATGCCCGCGCTTGACATTATTCTAATTTACGAAATGTTTCTTTTTGAGTAATGATAAAGTGTGCAATGAGAGTTTGTCGGGGAAAGCATTACTAAAAATTGGGTCATCGATCTTTAAGGATTAAAAAAAAAAAAATTATTAATCTAAATTTCTGCCTATTTTTGGAATTATTCATCTTTCTACCTGTTATATCCTGAGTAAGATTTAAATCACATGTCATAGTTCATTAAAATATCTTTATCTGTACCATTCTTGAAATCTTATTTTTCTTTCGTCTGAGGCTTTGTCACTACGATATTTCGAATTCATTAAAAAACCGAAGACCTCTACAAACGCTTGCGTCCTGACTTCTTGAAACTAATGTGAAGGTTATCGGCAGAGTAATAACTATAGCTTGCCAGACAAGGTAAAATACGCCCACTACCAGTCTTAAATGAAAATATTTTCTAAAGATGTTTTTAAAGGGACAAATGCACCTTTTTTGCCAATCGTACCTTAGTCTTAGAAACGGGGATTTTTTTTTCAGCTAAACTTATCAGAAATACCGTTCACAGGAATCCGCTGTTTGTCACGTGACTTTGTTCATTGTAATATATTCAGACACTTGGAATTCCGAGTAAAGCTGGGAATTATAAGCAAATTTGGTCGATAAAAAAAATTGTGGCATTTGGTAATAACTGAAATCCGCCTTTTTTATATGTTAGAAATAAATAATAAATTTGACATTTATCTAAACAATTGGACAAACTCTGCATATTGACGCTGTAGAGATAACCCATGTTTATCAAACCATGCAATTGTAGTAGGTCACACGAGGTCGCACATAAATTATTTATCATTTCCGGAGATGCACGAAATTAGGTTCGGACGAAGTTCTAGGGTGATGTTAGTTTGGTTGACGGTAAGTAAAATTTTTTCTGGTATCTTGTCATTAGTTGTTGTAGTTAAGGTACATGTGGAGCATAATGAAAAATGTAGTATAGGGATGTACAGGGGTCTAGAAATTTATTTCCGTTCCTGCATTCAGACAACTAAAAGAACTAGAAATGGGTGATATTTTTATCATTATATATAATATTATATAATATATCAACAACATTTTTATTATTTTATTTTTTCATCTATTTTATTTCAATCATCAATGTCAGTTGTATATTTTTCATTGTTTTCTTTCTGACATCCGTAGCTTCTCCACTTCTACAAAAATAAAAACATTTTTTAATTTCTATTTCAAATAGAGAACTAGAGCCACACGTGGCACAGAGTGCGACTTTGCAAATGTAGCAATTTGCTTAAGACCCTAAAAAAATCAACCGTCGACGATAATTAGGTCAAGCGCAAGAACAGTCTAAAGTTGATAAATTTTTATTTTTTAGAAGATTCTAATACCGGAAGTAGACGTCAGACCTCACAAATGAAAGTATCAGCTGATAGCCAAGGTCAGTGACCTTTGATCTTGTAAAGGAGAAGGTCTAAAAAGGGCAAGATCACGAGATATAAGTCATCAAATTTTCAAATTGCATACGGCTATAAAACCGGAAGTTGACATAGGACGGCAAATATTAAAGTATAAATAGATAGCCAATGCCAATGACGTTCGATCCTACAAAAGTCAAGGTCAACAAAGGTCAAGGTCAAAAATTGAAAATTTTGAATTTCCAAAACCTGTTCCCTTTTTTGAACTATGAAGCGGAAACAACCGAAATTCTAAGACAAAGTGGCTTAAAACATGAGTTAATTGTATGCAAAGTTCCATTTTGAACAATTGTATACTTTGCGAGTTATGCCCTTGGCCAAAAATGTCAATAATGAGTAATTTAACCCGGATGTGCCACGCCCACCTCATTTATTTGATATAAGTTAATCAATATTCAAAATGTTATGTCGTGTATCAAATGCCAAGGTTATACATAATACAGGTCAAAAGATATAGGTCAACAAAAGTCAACAAAAGTCAAAATCGAAAATTGAAAATATCAAAATGTTAAAACCCGTTCCTTTTTTGGAACTATAAAGATCAAACAACTGAGCTGTTAACACAAACTGGCCAAACGGATGAGGTAATTGTGTGCAAAATTCCTTTTGGAACAAATGCATTCTATGCATGTTATGCCCCTTCCCAAAAATGTAAACATTTAGTAATTCAACCCGGATGTGCCACGCCCACATCAATTATATGTCATAGGTGAATTCATATTCAAAGTGTCTAGATGTATTCCAAATTTCAAGGTTCTACATCAAATAGGTCACAAGATATACATACACTAAGCTCAATGAAACAAAAATATTGTAAAAAACACTCAAATATCAAAAAAGTACGAATTTCAATTTTGCTTTTAAAAACTTTTGTGATATATCGTTAGAAAGAGTATGAAGAGCACATTAAGAACCCGAAAAAATTAACCCTCTAGGATAATTAGGTCACGTGCTAGAGCAGTCCAAATTCGCGAATTTGGCTGTTTTTAGACATCCATAAAAACGGAAGTAGATGTCGGGGGTCGAATATGAAAGTATCAGCTGATAGTCAAGGTCAATGACCTTTGACCCAATGAAGGTCAAGGTCATCAAAGGTCTAGGTCATGAGATATGAGCCTTCAAACTTCAAAAAAATTCAATCGGAAATTGCAAAAAAATAAAAGCGAAATTTTAAAATCGGCTCCCAGAGTTTTTTTTTAATTTTTATTTTCTTTCATTTGACACTAAAATCATCAAAATCGGATAAGCCGTTATCTTTGAATAGATTCTGAGGCATTTCAGAAAAATCAAAATGGCGACCAAAGTATTACCTTCGGACCGGATTTTATATTCTTCGTTTTTTTGTCATAACTTTGGCTATCGATTCATGTAAGGTTCGTCGCGCTAAATTAATTACACCGGAAGTAGTTCAACCGGAAGTGAGAATCGATTTCCCGTTTAAACCGGAAGTAAAGTAAAAAATTTGACTATACACTTTTGTTCACGTTCATGAATTGTCTTTGCTCAAATTTTTTTTAGATTAATCAGACAAAAAGCTAAAAAGGTTTTTTTTTGTTAAAAAATTGAAAAATTCGGCCGAAAAAATTTGCGACAAAGTGCTATTATATCAGAAATTACACGTAGATTCCAGAAATAAAAACCCGAAGAAAATCGACCGGAAAATGCACTTTTTGCACATATTGGACTGTGACATTTCCGGTTTTGCAAAAATGTTCCAATTTATATTTATGCACCACGTTGCCACTACAGAAGGTCTAGGAAAGTTGAATGGTTGCTGCAACTACTGCAGTCTAAGCACAGGAAGGTGTGTAAATTTCGAAAAAAAAAAGGAATAGACATTTCGGTAACAAACTGGCAAAAAAAAACATACCGTGAATAATAAAGGAAGTTAAACAAGCATCAATTACTCATCTTTTTTATTTCTTTCAACTGTGTATGAAGTTTGAAAAATTTCCTCTCATCTCCTCAAAGTGAGCACGGGCGTAATAATATTTGACTCAGTTCTTTACGGTGGAAATAAACGAGGTTCGATGTAATGGTGTGAGATTATCGATACAGTAGAAAGTAGTAGAAGCGAATCGTGCCCTTATCTCGTGTGTTCATTTCGTCTATTTTCTCTGTATCGATTATCCCCCACCGTACATCGTACTACACGCGACTTGAGATTGATAGTCCATGTGTTAATTATTTTTATAAATCATACGATCGATCAATTTGAACAGGTGAATTTGTCAAGTATCACTAAAATATCAATTGAGTTTATTATCATCAGACATAGAACAAAAGATGGTTGTCGAATATTCAAAAAATCAGAACTTACTACCTCTTAGGATGACCAAAACATTGAAATTTTTAAACTTGGTTAAAATGAATCTTTGTTCATCTATAGACTTACCCGGTGTCATAACTATACAACAGAGTCCCTCTATTATCCAATAAATGGAAAAAGGGATAATCGATTTAACTAAGTAATTTGGAAACGTTTAGAAGCGATGTATATATCGTTTATTATAGAGATTCTATTCTTTAGTCACGGCGCCTGGTAAGTTCAACTGAAGAATATAAACACCTATTGACCAAGTTTGAGACTTTAAGATGACAACCTTGTACATAGTAAATCAGTATATAACAAACTTCAATTAGTTCAAGACGGCTTGTTCTAATTTCTGAATGAAGTATTTGTTCCACCTCAGCCCTGTCGATATGGGAGAATCAAACCCTCCCTTCCCCGAAAAATAATTCTGGTCACGCTATGTAAGTAGTCATTTTAAAATTAAAATGTATACTTACAAGGCTACAAACAACATATATCATCTCCATCACAAAAACCGAAAACCAGGTACTCTGGATCACACTCAGGTGCGCAAAAATTGGGTTCAGTTGGATCGCTTTCACATCGTAATTGCTCTAAAATATAGGGAGTAATATTGAAGATATTTCATACGTGGGGTATTTTAAATACTGAATGAGCTAATGAAGATGAACACAACAAAGCAATGTGCAATAAGTGAAATTTTGCTTGGATTTCACGACATGTACAGTTTTCGAACCTCTTATATACCATCCAAACAATGTTTGGACAATCAGCTTTTGCACCTTAAACAGATTAAAAAAGTTAATGAGTCTTGCAGTCAATTAAAATCTAATTATTATTTAGTTTCATGTTTATACTTTTTCCAAATTTGAATATTTAACCCTTGAAACAACTTAACGCGATTGATAATATTATTTACAATGTTTCTACATAAAAATTGTTTGCATAATGCCCCTGTTAGTGTAATGATAACTTAGACTATTACGGCATATGTATTTTATGATAACGTCATAGTTAGTCACTGTCATCCGGTCTCTCAGCTAGTTTCCGCTGAAGCCATCCGTTCGTTAGTAGTCTCTGACGGAGTGTTCATTGAAATTTCAAATTCCATCAAGGGACATAACTACAATTAAGTATATTCGACCTTCAAGTTTCAAATGACTTCAAAGTAAAAGGACAGTACACAACTTTCTTGGTGACGGTTAGGTTGATGTGCAGGGGTGTATTTTATTTGTTTGCTCTTTTTTGTAAGCTGTTAAGCTATAACAATTGATTCGTTCTGCTTGAATAAAATGAATGAATCAATCATAAATATAAATATCATAAATTACTTAAACATTATTTTTTACGTAGGCCCTCTCGAGAAAAACAACTGGAAAGGCAAATTATAATGTTACTAGGACAAATCCCAATTGATTGGAAATCGCAGCACAATATATTCAATATATAGGCCTTATTCTCGAAAACGCAACCTAAGATGATATTAGTATTCCAGTCAACGGGTATGCCTGCAGATGATTATATTTCTTAAAATCTGGATTTTATTTTAGTCCGTCATTCAATTTTGAATTAGTTATGTTTCAACTGTTTAATTCGCAAATTTCTGTAAAGAGATCTTTATTATTATTGTACTCACCACAAAAAGTATCACCAAAAGATTCTGTACAATTACATGATCCATCAGCCAGTAGTGTTCCATTATTTTGACAAGGATTCACTATTTCTAAAACAACAAGATTTAAACGTTTAATGAAGAAAAAAAACTTGGGGCTCCAAATCTCAGCCGGTCTAATAAATTAGAAACTTTCGATGCGAATTTTTAGCAGTTTTATTTTTACTGAACCACTAAGTAGAGTCAAAAATAGAAGCCAATGAAAATACGGCACGGTAGTGTTGTCAACTTTTTATTAGATTGAACTATATTATACCCAAGTTTTCAGCATTATGTCAGCATTTTTTACTCTAAATTATAAATGATAAAATGCCAGGAAAAAATTGCCATTTAACAAAACAATGCAGGACTCATTGGCAGCGCAATTCTACTACGCCTTTTTAAACAAATCTAGAATTATGAGTTTTATAGGTTTTTGCCCTAAAATATGTGACAGAATACACCAAATTATTTCAATTTTACGAAATTGTTTTTGGACACTCAGACGCACTATACGATGCTTGCAACTATGCCATCTCCACATTTTATAATCCCAAATGACATGAGGGAGTTGGGAGAATATTTGCGTCTGTGCGTCTGTCCGTTGATTGCTAGTAAACACTCTAGAAGGTACATTTCTTGACAGATTTTGACAAATCTTAGTGAGAATGTTTGTAATCACCCAAGGATGACCCTATCGAATAACAAAAAAATCGAAATATATTAACTACGAATAATTGCGATTGTGCTTGAAAACGCGTTAAATTTTTAAGCACGGGAATTATTTAGTTAAACTATTAACAATAGTGTTCACGACTCACAGTAGAAATTTGAGCCTTCAAATCCGAGTGTATTCAGAATTATCTGCGTTTGAAAGTTAAAATGACGAGTCGTCTTTTCTTGAGACCCTGCCGTATGTAGAAAAGACGTATAGAAATAAGAAGTGAAACTCCCATCTTGGGGTATTTTTGAGACATATTGTACATTTCTAGTACTTCTGAAGACTATTATATAAAATAAAAACCCAAATCAACCCCCCATCCCCAAATAGCGAAATTTCTCCTTTAACGTATACGTTAATTATTAGGGAGTCTTGCAGTCGATTAAAAACTAATTATTATTTTGTCCATGTTTCAAAAAACTTTTCGAGATTGATAATATTATTTACAATGTTTCTACATAAAAATCCCAATAAAGATTCCCGTATGTGAATTGAAACGTTGGTGAAATTACAGAAATGAGTTGTATATCCATAATAGAGTTCATATTTATTTAATACTTAACATTGTTTTTACGTATGCCCTCTCAAGAAAAACAACTGGAAAATAATTAAACTAAATAATGTATCTATGACAGAAATGAGGCCAGTTGATTGGAAATCGCAGTACAATAATCAATACAGTGGTCTTATTCTCGAAAACGTAACCCAAGATGATATAAATGTTTCAGTCAATTAATTGTTCACAATGTTCAGTCTCAAAATACATTTTTTACAATTAGGTATCCATTCAGATTATTGCATTTCTTAAAATCTGGATTCTATTTAGTTCGACATACGATTTGAATTTAGTTATGTTTCAACATGCAGTTTAATTCGGAAATTTCCGTAAGAGAACTTGATTTATTGTACTCACCACAAAAGGTACCACCAAATGCAACTGTACAATTACATGATCCATCAGCCAGTAGTGTTCCATTATTTTGACAAGGATTCACTATTTCTAAAACAACAAGGTTGAAACGTTTAATGAAAAAACAAAACTTAGGACTCTCAATCTCAGTCTAATAAAATAAGATACTTTCTTTGCAGATTTTAAGTAGTTTAATTGTTAATCAACAACTAAAGTAGAGTAAACAATAAAAGCCAATGAAAATATGGCATGAGGGTTTTTATGCTTAACTTGGGTACAAAATAAAAGCCAATAAAATACGGAACGAAATTTTTTTCAAAGTTTTATTAGATTGAACTATATTATATCCAAGGTTTCAGCATTATGTCAGCATTTTTGCAGTAAATTATAAATGATAAAATGCCAGAAAAATATTGTCGTTTAACAAAACAATGCAGGAATATGTGTCAGAATGTACCAAATCAATTCAATTTTGCGAAATATTTTTTTGACTCTCAGACGCACCAAGAGATGCTTACGACTACCACATTTTATAATCCCAAATGATAAAAAAGGGGGGAGGGGGCGTATGTTTCCGTCTGTTCGTCTGTCCGTCGATTGCTCGTATATACACTCCAAAAGGCACATTTTTTACAGCTTTTGACGAGACTTTGTACGAGTATTTTTCGAAAAATAAACAAATCGAAATATATTTACTATCAATTATTGCTCTTGTGCTCGAAAACGCGTTCGATTTTTAGCTCGTAAACAATCTAGAAGGCGTATGTTTAGACGAATCTGGACGAAACTTGGTTTTAGTGTTTGTAAGCACCGAAATTAGTTTGTCAAACTATCAACAATATGTGAATTGAAACGCTGGTATATCCATAATAGAGTTCATATTTATTTAATACTTAACATTGTTTTTACGTATGCCCTCTCAAGAAAAACAACTGGAAATTAATTAAACGAACAATGTAACTATGACGGAAATGAGGCCAATTGATTGGAAATCACAGTACAAATATTCAATACATAGGTCTTATTTTTACAAACGTAACCTTAGATAATATTAGTGTTTCAGTCAATTAGTTAAGTCTCTAAAATACATTTTTACAATTAGGTATCCCTTTAAATTATTGCATTGCTTAAAATCCGGGTTTTATTTTAGTTCGTCATTAGCTTTTGATTTAATTGTGTTTCAACAGTTTAATTCAGATATTTCTGTAAAGGGAACTTTATCAACTGTACTAACCTTCACAAAGAGTACCAGTAAAATCCACTGTACAATTACATGATCCATCAGACAGTAGTGTTCCATTATTTTGACAAGGATTCACTCTTTCTAAAACAACAAGGTTGAAACTTTAATGAAGAAACAAAACTTGGGGCTCCAAATCTCAGCCAGTCTAATAAAATCATAAACTTTCGTTGTGGATTTTTAGTAGTTTTAGTTTTACTCAACCACTTTAGTAGAGTAAACAATAAAAGCCAATGAAAACACGAAACGAAAATTTTGTCAAATTGATTGAACTATATCATACCCACGTTTTCAGCATTATGTCAGCATTTTTGCTGTATATTATAAATGATAAAATGCCAGAAAAATATTGCCATTTAACAAAACAATGCAGGACTCAATGGCAGCGCAATTATATTCCACTTTTTTGTGACAAATCTAAAATTATGAATTTTATAGGATTTTGCACCAAAATATGTGTCAGAATGTACCAAATCAATTTAATTTTTGCGAAATTGTTTTTGACTTCGACTATGACATCTCCACATTTTTATACTCCCTAATGGCTAAGGAAGTTCAGGGGCGTATATTGCTCGTAAACACTCTAAGAAGTATCCCTGTAAATTATTGCATTTCTTAAAATCCGGGTTTTATTTCAGTTCGTCATTAGATTTTGATTTAATTGTTACGCCAAATTCTGGTTGTCTGGCCCCCGTTTCACTAAGGTACGTAAGTATAAATATTTACGTAAGTATATATCTAGGTAAAATTTGCGTTTCACTAAAAGACGTAAATTTTTACTTACGTAAATATGTCGTCTAAATCCTACGTCAACTACAAGCAGGCGTAAGTACGTTTTGGCGACTGATCTAATGTTAGAAAAACGCCGACAATTAGTTTTTAATGGACAGGATGTATTTACAATTAATAAGAATGAAAGGAGAGAGTTTCCAGAGATAGTACCTCAGATTATAGACACGTCATGTCGAATTTCACAAACTTGATGTCGGCCATGTGATTAACTAAAACGAAAGTGGCGTATCTAAACTTTCATTGGTTATTTATAAATAGAAATGCATTCGAAGAACAAGGGCTTTATCGAGGGCCCACGTTTAGCATATCCATAATATTATTCACGTGTCTTTTATTTAATGATTTCAAAATTGCTTTTAGAGATGAGGACAATGCTAACTAAGAAAGTTTAACTTTAGAAGTGTTCAGTTCAATTTTTAATTAGGCCTATTTATCTTTCCATTTCCATCGGCCATGTTTCTTGTCACCCCAGAAGTGAACATGGCGCGAATTGTATTAAAATTTTGTATTAAACAGTTTCGAAAAATGCCGATATTTCATAATTGAACCAGTTATTTTTTCTTGCGGATGATGCCATTTTGACAAAAATGACAGTGAAAGACGATTTATTTCGGCCAAGCGTGACTTACGTCATAATGTATTGATATTACGTCACGAATTTTCATACTTACGCCACTTTTTTTACTTAATACTTACGCGTGCTTTAGTGAAACGGACGTAAGTAAATACTTACGTTATTGCGTAAGTATAAAACTTACGTAAATACTTACGTAACTTAGTGAAACGGGGGCCTGGAGCCTAATTTTACTTTGTGGTTATCTTCCTTTAGAATTCTTCATGTGTGATAATCGAGTCTTAGTTTCAAGGTCACTGACGTCATAGTTTGCATACGTCATTGCTAGGTCAAGAAAAAGAAGGTCAAAATAGGCCTAGCGCATTAGTAAAGATTCAAGGACCACTTTGGCCTAAAAATTCGGTAATTTTCTAATTTAATATTTTCTCCATTTAAAGATGTATGTTTTGTAAATGAAAACGTCGGATTTGTATGCAAAATGTAGAAAACCAGTCCTTGTCGGCACAGAAATTAGCACTTCCGGTTTGACATGCGCATAAGATATAAACATAAGCCATCATAGTGACAAAATATGAAGATTTTCTCAACCAGCACGACGAATTTTGTCAAATCCTTGACGATAAGGATAAACAAACGTACTTTAATGATTTCTTTGACGACAAAGATGTATATATCAATAACTTTAAAACTTATATTGAAAATTGGTTTACAAGTGATGAAACTAGGCAACAGTCTGACCCTATGGAGGTACTGGTTTAGTTTTGAAAATTTTAGTTGTTACAAATACATGTTCCATCAGACTGTTCTGTTCTTTATTTAAGAGACCGTTATAGTGATATGTGTCGTTTCAGATCCAGGACTCCCAGTCTTAATCCAACCAAATCAGAGTGTTTCAAGCATAGATTTGAACAATCCGTGAATGACATTGTTACTTGAGAAAATAGAATAATCTATCATCTGTACTGACCTTCACAAGTAGGACCAGTAAAATCAGCTGTACAAATACATCCAACATTAGGCAGATCGATTCCACCATTTTTACAAGGATTCACTTTTTCTAAAACAATAACGTTGAAGTCTTTATTTGAAGAAACGGTAATTGTGATACGTGTTGTCTCAGATCAAGAGCTCCCAGCCCCAATCCAACCAAATCAGAGTGTTTCAAGTATAGATTTGAACAATTCGATAATGACAATATTAGTACTATATTTTACATCACAAAACTTGGAATATAGAATAATTTTTAAACTAAACTGACTGTAATAGTCTGTAAACTTCCTATTAGGAGGTTTGAACTATCTGAGTCAATACACCATAGATGTATATAACAACTATTTATAACTCTAGGGTCAAAATCCACGTAATTTTTTTTTGGTGGGAAACAACTCCGGTTGGTATGAAGAATACAATTAAAGGGAAACAACTCTAAACAATGTACATTGACTAAAGTTAAAAGGCTATAAAACACAAACAACATTAATTACAACTCAAATTTAAAGAACACGATATGAGTTTGATTTAATTCCTGGGCATGATAAATGAATACACAGAAAGAATTTGAAACTTGTGAAAACTACTTCAACTTAAACACATACAATGAATAATTTTTAAAGTCGACAAAACAGTCTTGAGAATTAATCAGAACACAATTATGTCCGACACATATCAGTTCTTTTCAATCTTAATCACTCTGCCGGATCCGGTTGTTGTGACATCAGAGTTGTTAGCTTGCTGTTGCAACGAAACTGTAGGAGGTGTGTCGGCGGATCACTGATAGTCTGATTAGGTAGTAGCAGATCTCTGCTCTGCGGTTTCTTCTGATGGTTCCACCAGTGTCTGTTTTCACCAAGTATGAACGTGGTGCTACTCCCTTGATTACCCCTCCCTTGGTTTTCCAATTATTCGTAGTGTCATAGTGAACTTAGCAAATTCTGCACTGGTAAAACATGTCCATTATCTCATGAAGAATACCATGCCTTGCAAATGTAGATTTTAGAGCTTTATTTTAAAATACAAAATGAGCTTTCTCAATGTGAAAATTTAATGTTAAGAGGCAATAGAATTGTCAGGCCTTTTACTTTACAAAAGCTAATTTTAGATTGGGCGCATGAATCGCATCAGGGAATTGTCAGAACTAAGCAATTTTTTAGAGGACGTTTCTTTTGGTTTTACATGGATGATCAAGTTGAAAAATTAATTAAATTTTGTGACGCATGTGTTAAAAGCAAGCATTGATTAATGATACTCTGAGATAGAATTGCCTAAGAAACCCTGGTCTAAAGTAGGTGTTGATTTAGTTGGTCCTATAAATGGAACATATTATATATTGACTTTGATTATTATTCATATTATCCTGAAGCTTTTATTATTAAGGATATTTCATCTAGGAATATTATAAGATGTTTAGAACAGTTATTTTCTAGATATTTGGTTATGTTGATTGTTTAGTAAGTGATAATGGTAAATCTTTTGTAAGTGAAGAATTTGAATGTTATCTTAATAAGCATAACAAATCCTCTCCGTACTTTCCAAAATCAAATGGAAAGATTGAACGATTTCATCCTTATTTAAAAAAGGATAAAGAGCAGCTGAATCAGAAGGAAAAGATTGGAAAGCAGAACTGCATAAGATTTTGTTAGTCAGAGCTACCTCATACGTCAGTACGTCATTGAGTTCGTCACTCCGTCAATGAGTTCGCCACTCCGTCAATGAGTTCGTCACTACGTCAGTGAGTTCGCCACTCCGTCACTGGAGTCCATCAATACGTCGATGCTACCTTACAATTTTATAACTTTTGTTTTTAATAAGTTCTTAAACGAAAAACGACATTTGACGGAGTATTTAAATCAAATCGTCTATAGAACATGTCAAAAACTAAAAAAAAAAATTCGTACAAATTGAGGAATATCTAATTTCCATCAGTAAACGAAAATAAGATACAAGCTAATGACTTCGATTTTCGTGTTTTTAAAGCATCGTAACTCGTTTCTATTTTTGTATGAACCTATATCAACATTCTTGCAGGATATCGATCTCAATTTGCTTATGGGTCGTGCAAGTGAAATATCTTGTATTCAGGCTATACAAATAGGCCAGAATTTTAACAATTCTTGGTATGTTTACGTATAATTTTGTGTACATCGTTTAATATGATTTTTTACGAACGATTTTTGAGTTAATTGATTTTGATCTATCCAAAATAAACGAATTTGGCATGTGAATACGAACGAGACTGCAGTTGTAACCTGTTCTTGATGGACTTTGGCATGTTATGTATATTGTTGAGAAATTTTCGCGATTTTTCTTCGAAATGGATTGGTGATCGCTTTAGAAAAAAATTTCTTCTGCTTTTGTCGAAATTTGGAATGCTATATTGGAAATAACTTCGATCTTCGATTTATGTTCAATTAACGTTTTTTTTAGTTATTGATCTTTGTTTGGCAAAAACAGCGTCAAAGTTTTCCTGGGAACACAGTTATCTCTTCCACCGATTATTGTTTTGACATTAATTTGGTTATAATTTAATTACCGTAAGTATTTACATCTGGTTATTTATTTAAGATTTTGTTAACTTTTTATGATTATCAGGGACACTGATTTGCACCATTCTAATTTTCAGATCTGCGTTTCTTGCAATTTCACTAAAACTAAAACATTATGCATTTGTAAGTAACAAGCCATATTGAAATGTGCTGTGATCAATGGAGATATTATATTATTTTTTTAAAAACAGAAGAATAAATGAGATTAAAACTGCTGTTTTGTAAGTGTAGCCTATAGCCATCACTCGTTTGCCATGATTATGATAACTGTGAAAATATATATTTTTCCAAAAACTTGTAATATTTTATGTCGAATTCTGGTATTCTTTTTTTTTAAATAAAACAAATAATAAGAAAACTGTTTTGTCTTCTAATAGTGCCATAAATTTTTTTTTATTATACTTTCACTATACCAAAATCGCGATAGATTTTTTCACCGCTTTCCTAGATTCCTTGAACATTTTCTTTTTTTTTTTTTCAATCTGTTGGCATAGTGGCGAACTCATTGACGAAGTGGACAATTCACTGACGTAGTGCTGAACTCATTGACGGAGTGGCGAACTCAATGACTTAGTAGCGATCCCATTGATGGAGTGGTGAACTCATTTATGTTGTTAAGTATGAAGCAATCCAGGGCTGAATACCTAATTTATTGCCATTCAGTTTTAGCATTTCTTTAGGTTGAATTGAAAGCCCCCGGACTTTATTGATATCTGTCATTGGAGTCAGTCCATGAATACCTCATCCGTCATTCTGCTAAGAATTCCGCCACCCCATCAAACGGCCCGTCACTCCGTCATTGCCTTTAGTCCGTCAATCATCCCAGTGACGGAGTGACGAACTCACTGACGTAGTGGCGAACTCATTGACGTAGTGGCGAACTCACTGACGTACTGACGTATGAGGAAGCCCTAGACAAGGGAAAACGTTTCATCCGTCATTCGTCGATGCTACCTTACAAAATTACGGGGCTTTACTTAAATAACAAAGC